TTCTATGTTTGATCACGATTTTTTACTACCTTTCCCTGATTACAAGGACACTAACCAGCACTTGAGTGAATGGAATCTGACTGTCCCACATTCAATAGAATTGGTTTAGTGCTCACAGTTATTCACTCTAATTTTTACTACTACTATAAACCAAAAACTTTTTCAGCAAATCTTACTTTCATGATTCATAATGACAGAGTTACAGCTCGGGTCACAACTCAACGTGTTTTGTAAGGGGAGGAGGGGGTGGCCTACCTCTACTCAGAAACCTCCTCCACCCTTATCACTTGCCTATCTTTTTTGTTCATAGGTATTCCATGGAAAATGAGTATATGACATAAAAAAGGTAAATAATTTTTTTCTTAGCCTGTAGGACAATGGGTACCATAATTCACAGCCTATGACCCATTGTGCAACAGACAGTTTGTCCAAAGATGTATTTCATCAAGACCTACTGCAAGATCTCCTACAATACTCTGTTTCATTCCATTCTCGCCAATCTTTCAAAGCTCTCCATTCAAGAATGTCAGAGCTCATTGCACTTACATTTAGTCTCAAATTAGAACTGAATATGAACATTTCAGCTTAATGGCTACAAACTACTTTATAATATTTGGTTAAAATTAACTATGTCCCTAATTTGAGCTCTTACTTTTTAAAAACTGAGATTTGGATATCAGTTAGTACACAAAAGCATAGTTCCGTAGATACATATGATACTGAAAATATAGATAAAAATTTACAATGACAGATGAAATTTGAGCCCTTAAAACCAGCAAAGAAGTTAGAGAAGTAAACAGATACACATTCATTAGTACTTATAGCAAGCATAGTCAGTGCTCTTGGTGCACCTGTTTGATCCGCAAGGTTGAATAATTAGTTGCATAAAAAATAACATGACGTATTCCTACAGAGAGAGGAGAAAGCAGAACTTACCTCGACAATCTTGACTTCTTGAGGAGGAGCAGCGGACGGCTCTTTCGTTTCTGTTTTGACTACATCTTCTGAGGCTTCTTCAACTTTCTTTTCCTCTTTATCTTTTGTCGGTTCTTCATCTTTTTCTAAAACTACTTCCTTGTCTTCCTTCTTTTCTTCGGATTTCTCAGTTTCTTTCACTGTTTCTTCTTTAACTTCCTCCTCTTTTTTCTCGTCTTCTACTTTCTCTTCCTTCTTCTCCGTTTCATCCACCTCCATTTTTTCCTCCTTGGGTTCGTCTTTGACTTCGGTGGATACTTCAGTAGTAGTAGTTTCAGTGACAGTTTGGGTTACAGTTGTTTCTTCTTTCTCCTAAGATTACAGAATAAGATAAGAATGCATGAGATTAAATATGCACCTATAAACACAACCTATAGCACTATCACATTACAATAATCTCTGGACTTGACGAGATCTTTTCTCTCTAGCTGGAAACATGGACGGCGTCAGGGGCCAGCCTGCTCAACAGTGGGGTGTCCACAACTAGAGCCTTCCCAAAAATTGTCTCTGATCTTAGATGTTCAAAGAATTGATTCAAGATTCCAGTGGTAGCATGTCATGCTCTATGATGCATATCGATTGATCTGTCCATTAATTCGAAGAAAAAAGATTGGTTATCAGGGTATTTGCAAAGCACATCTAAATTCTTCACGTAGCTTCAAATGGAAAAAAAATTGAAAATCAATTATTCACATCTCTTCATGACACTCACAGCAACTTCATTGTATTTTTTTTCTTTTTGACTATGCTTAGACAAATGTAAAACAGCAGGGCAAAATTGCTAGATTACGAAAATTGTGAAGAGTAAAATCTTACTTGGAACAGATTCAAACACATGACCTGGATAGTGGAAAACATTTTTTTTCCCCCTTGAGTCTATGAATAATAAAATTCTCTACCATGACACTTGCTGAGATGTCAAGGACATTGTGACAAACAGATATTGCAACAAATAATTAGAACCAGTTTCTAGCCAGTACACTATCTACCATATCGTTTTGCCGATAACATCCCTTAAGCTATCATACCTTTTGGCTGAACAAGCGCCTGCTTTTTTTGGTTAAAACAACTGAAAGCCAAAGGTGTGGAAAACAGAATGCAAGAATGTACTGACCTCTGTTTTCACCTTTTCAACCGCTGTATCATCAGCCTCTTTCTTGACATCCGACGTAGCTTCATCTTTGCTTTCACCGTCTTCTTTTGGCTTTTCTTTCTCTTCTTCTCCAGTCTCTCCTTGCGACTAAAGCAAAGACAGACATCAACATTAAAAGGAAGAAATGCCATTACTTAATTGGTAACTTGGACACTCATTTTGAAACTTGTGAAAAATAAAAAGGAAAATGTAAGAAAAACAAACAAAATAGGTGCATACAGTTAGGATGCTTGAGGTAATGTGACATAAAAGTTTTATTTTTCTTTTTGTATTCCCATCAGAACAATTTATCAAACGTGAGTCCGACTTTTCACTCTGCTACCAAAGTTACTTGGACACCGAATAAAACATGCTGTATTTTCTATATTCAGGTGATTTCCACGATGGTGTGAAGGGCTGAATATTGTTAATGTAGGCTAAAAAATTAATTGCCAATAAGTATATAACAATTTATAAGACAGTTGTGCCTTCATGAATTGCACTTGGATGTCCCTTTAATTTTATCACGTGAAAAGATTGAGCAAAATAATGCTATCTACATTGAATTTAAAAAACAAAACTCACTGGTTTAGTTTCTTCCTCTGTTACATCCTTTGATGGTTCTGTAGTTTTTGCTGGGGCGCTCTTATCGTCCTCGGTTTTTGCGGCTTCTAATTTAGCGGCTTCAGCTTTGGCAGCTTCAACCTTAGCTGCTTCTGTTGGCTTTCGGATCAATTCTGGAATACTGTAATATCCGTTGATGTGCTCAAATTCCTGAACCTGAAACCAAAAGAATTATTCACGAATAAATAATGAACTGTATGAGGACCATGATTTGAATTGCATTTTGCGCTAATGGACAACTATTTCTGGGTGATTTATAAAATTACCTTATCTACACAGGGAAGCTGATGGTGGCATGTATATTAATTCTAAAATGAGCCCGACGAATAGTAGTTACTAGTTGCAAAATTTAGCGCACTTAACAATAACTTTTTTTATATGAGACTTTGTTGTCAATTGGATTGGGTGATGATCTCATCGTAATCTCTTGATGATCAGAAACTACAGAAGGGTCGCTTAATGCCAATGGGATGCCGCTTTCGATTGTGTCGTTTTCATTCCAGAGTTGTCAAGATTCTTTTTCCTGCCGTCAGCATCTCTAATTTTGAGTCGGAATGAACCCTTGATCTTGGTGCATTCTGATTTTGGCAGGTTTGACTGGACATCTTGAGTTTCGATGATGCTGATTTTTTTTTCTTTGTTCTTTAAATCGATTGATTTCTAATCATAAGGGAAAACTGTGTAATACTGAATTAGTTAGCTTCCACGATTTAATTACTAGTAAATAATCTCAAAAGTAAATGAACGTTTTTAAAAAATGTAAAGTTGACTTGGCACTCAACTGTATGTGAGGGGATACCTGGATTTTTTCCTACACGATGGATTTTTATGTACATATATTTACAGACAATACTGCAGATACCTTAAATTCAAATAAATTGTTTGTGAAAACCAGACCTTTTTTCTAATTAGAGACATAACTCCTATCCTTGTAAGGACATGCTGTCTGCTCAATCCTTCACGAGGTACACCATCTGCAAAGTTTTCAGCATTGTCGGCACCAGGCTCGCATAGATGACGCATGAATAAAGAAACATAAGCCTTGAAATTCTTCTCTGACTTTCCCCGCAAGTCTCTGACAAGCCTAAAAATGAACAAAAATACAATTACGGTTGAGAAAACCTCTATAATAATTGAAGTGAACAAGAATTGATAAAAAAGTTACTAGAATAGTGCAGCAACAGCTTTAAATATCAAATTGATTTCAGTGCATAGTTGGTAGCAAATTATTTTTTTTTTCAATCCCTGATTTTTTCCTGACCGCAAAATTGCTGGATGAAGTTCCCTGATCAAAGCTGCTGAAAGATCGAATTTAAAGCATAATTTTATTATAGGAACACCTTCTTCAGCTCTGTGTTCACTTTTAGCTTGAGTGAGAAGATGATACAAATGTTGAAGTGACAGGTAACAACTTCTCTGCGGAAGTGAAGAGCACTTCAGTGTAGCAGCAACCATTATACCCTGACTCATCTTGTGCAGATCGTTTTAAATAAAACTTCCATTGTACATTGCACCGTTTATACGAAAAGTATTGATACAGGTTGACTATACTCGATTTGCCAATTCGAATTAAGCACAATTTAAACTCTAGATATCATTGCGATGAAAACAACCCCTTTTTAACAGGTAGCCTGGACCCATCACAGTAAAGTGAGCATTAAGTTTCCAAGACTCGTAAAAATTAACAAAGGAAGTAATTGTAACATTAGTTTGACTTCACCAAAAAAGACAAACTTCAAAAACATCTAGGTGATGATGCACAAAATATGAATGCTTACCTATGTCTTTGTTTTTCTTCTTTTTTATTTTTTGTGTTTTGTTTTGCCTTGCTACTTGATAATTATGGTACATTTTGGTAACAATGTGCGTTATACAAGATAAAATAAAAAATATGAATAAATATTCAATATCTCATGAAAATATCTGAACATACGACAATTTGTTTCAATGATTGCAAAAAAGTTGAATATCAAGGTTTGAGTTCACATCACATATCAGAAACCATGTTCAAACTTGAACATTCAAGATTTTCCCCAGCCCAAATAGAAATGAAAGAGACTTAAATTTTGAGTCTTACCACTGTGAATTGAATGCATCTTGGGGAGGCATACCAAACCTCATGATTGCATTAAGGAAGGCTTTACGCTGTCTTGCGTTAAATCCAAGAACCTGCAAAAAAGAAAATCAATGAATGATAGGTGACTTATTTTTCAAGTAAAGAGTAAAAAATGCATATGAGAATGAATTAAAATTAAAATACAAGTTTGGAACTTAATATAACATAGTGAAAATTATCAAATTCGATTACATAACTTCTTATAAATCTATGCAAAATGGGGCAAAGCTGGTCAACATGGTTGATCTGAGAAAACGGAATGGACTTGAGGAGGAAAAAAAGAATCTTTAAGCATGGTTTTCAAAAGAAGAAAAAACCAAATAAATAAAAAAGGAATAATGTACAAAAAGAGAGAAGTATATGTTTTACCTGCATAAGAGCATCAACTGTAAAGGTCTTGACTAAATAACACACTAACTACATTCATTGAAGCAAAATAAGACAACAAACTGAAAAACACCGAGGAGAATTCTGAGCAAAATAAAAGCAAAAGAAAGCAGTAAATATGTGCACACCATTAATTAGAACAAAGCTAAGTTTAAGACTACACGAGTTTTAATCTTCGGCTCTTGGTCAGTTCTAGTAAAGAGGCAAATACAAGCTAATGCAACTTGGTTAATGTGTTTTTTGATGAGCGAGAAAATTATTTCCATTTTGTATTAGAGAAATGATGAATTGAAGCATTTGCAATGATTAGAGACATTCTTATTCTTTTTCATAGTGTTTCCTTTTCTATTTTGAATATTTTTCTCAATTATTGAGGTATCAATGACATTCGATGCCATACCTCCTAAAATTTTTCAAGGCGAAAATCAAAAGACTATTTTCATAAGTAAGTAAATGATTCGTTCTATTTTTTTTTCCTTCACCCAAGTAAGGAAAAAAAGGTTTCCAACTTCAGAAATTCAGTTTCTGTGTTGAAGCTTGGAGTTCTTGCAATTTCCCAAAAGAACAATAGTGTAGGTAACACAGTTCCTGGCACCCTGAAGTGCAAAAATATACATGCCTTGATCACTAAAACCGAAAAAAATTGCTGATGACTAGATTGGCCCGTCCATTCTCACATTTAATTCCATTATGGGAGAATGCTTAGTGTAGCACAGAGCATTCATGAGTCATGAGACATTACTTCTCCACATTCTGACACATGTCCTTCATAAAACGTTAGCTCTCTGCATTCTGACATGCAGCACGGTTAGTTTAGTCACTAGAATAATCGGCTTACAAACTCAGCGTTAGAGTTTCTTTTCTCACCTTGGACAATGTGAGATTACTCATGAAGAGACTAGACACGATCATATGTTGGTGCAACGTTATCGAGAGGAGCGATTTTGAGTGTGGAATGTGCCAATATGACTGGTGAGAAGAAGTGGCCTCTTCTTGCAGTCCTCAAATTTAGGGAACAAAGGTATTTTATAGACAAAACCTCGCCTATTGGGTAGCAAAATGACAATATGCACTCCATCAAATTAAAATAGAAGATGTCTACTTCGCAGCTGTGCAGAAGCAAACCAAAATAAGAAATTACTTCTTTTCATCCTGACCATGCAAGCCTTTGTTTAATATCTCTTCTTGAATAATTTCACCTTTCTATCCCTGTTTTTTTCCCCTTCTTCCTTTCTTTCTTTCTCTTCTCCATTTCTCTCCTAACAATACTCACAATCAGTAAAATGAAAATTTTATGCAAAAAAGAACCGGTCTATTGACATTGCTTTGTGATGGAAGTTGACTATATTGATATAATCATAATTCAAAAACATTGTTACATTATTTTAGAAAAAATAGTTTCAGTTTAACAGGGTGGACAGCTGATGATTGTTGATTTCGGCACTAATATGTGTCAATTTATTCTACAGATTATTCTACACAAGACTCAATAGATACAACTCCCTTCCTCCTTTCATAAAATGACAAAGATTTCATGAATTTCTGAATACCCTGTGAGGTGACAAGATTCCTTGAATTAATAAACACAATGGCTCCAAGTTCTATTTGTCTGACTTTCCTCTGATTTTTCAAGATTTTTTACAAAACAACAACTGACTTTACAAAGATGTTGGCTGTAAACTATTTGAGGGAATGTTGCTACTTTAGGTTGGAAAAATGTAATAAACAAGTGAAAAGTGAAAGACATAGTTCAGTTTTGAGGGCAAGTGAGAAAATAATATTCCTGATAAACGGATGTTAAGACTCAAATGAGAGTTAAAATTTTGGGGGAAAAAGAAAAGAAGAGAGAAATGAAAAGAAAGCAGTGAAAATAAAATGTTATTAAAATTAAAACCTGGTGCATTAGAAAAAATAGACGATGGGTTAACACTAAAACTAACAGGTAACTAAAGTTAGAACATCTATCCTGTCACACTAATAAACAACTAAGTTGCCTGTTACTTCAATTCATCTAAAAAATACATCTTCATAAACGTCAAAACATCAAAATGTTCTTAGTTTTACTAAAAATATAAAATAAACAACTATAGATAGAGGGTCATGACATTAAACTGGAATTAAAAACGGGGGAAAAACTTCAATCTAATTAGAGCGCCGGAAAAAATCCATAATCGTCTTTTGATTTTTTGGCTTTTGAGGAGCTAATATTCTTTTGGTGAGTTCTTTTTTAAGGTCTTGGTGCTGCTTCTTATGTTTATAATTCTGCAAGTTATCGATTTGCACGCCTTTGTGACTGATACTTGTATCAGGAACATTTAAACTGCACCTATTCTCCTGGAACGCATGGTTAAAATTTGCAAGAGAATGCTCTGATCCCTCTTCGGGCAAAAAAAAATTCAGATGGTGATTCTCTTCTGGCTTTTTCTCTAGCAAGGTTTCTAGTTTTTTAACTTTAATTTTTCCAATGTTAGATGAAGTCTTGGTTGTTTCCACGACATCCATCAGTGCTCCTGGTTGATGATCATCATTAACAATAAAACTGCTGTTGGAGTTAACTCCGGAGTCAGACAGTGACTCGTTCTTAAAGATTTCCTACATGAATAAAGAGATTAAAAAACTTGTTTTTGGATTGAAAATGAAAAAAATGTTGTGGAAAACAAAATCACAAACAGGATACAAAAAAAACAATAGAGTAAAAGACATAGGGTCAAAGTGATACTAATGCGGGCCATTTCAGATCCAACATGTTTCCACGACACTTAACAGACGATGCAATTTCAGGGAGAGACATGATTTGAAAAAAAGATTAATGTAAAAATGGCTCAAAGAGAGCCCTTGAAACACCAATAGAGCTCACTTTTTCTCTCAACATTTACTTTGTTATTACTCAATTAAAGGCATTTACCAAAGGGGTCCAACCCAAACATTTGGCAGGGGAAATATGGAGGCCACTCTAGCGCTCCCTTTGCACTTTAGACTCATTCTTTGCAAAGCCCTCATAATCCTGATCACTCAATCTTACTTACCCTAATACTCATGAATTATTGTTACATGCATGGGAGTATATACAAGGAAGGTCTTCTTCTCCAACACCGGGACACAATAGACCACCATAGCAAGGTAAAATGGGAATGGAAACTTACTCAGATCAACCAAATTAATTTATTCAAGTATTATGAAAACAAAGCGAATGTTAAAGGCCGGAAACATCCAGGATATGGAAAATGTGTGAACTTGCACTGAAGCGTGAAATCATAGACTCTAAACATGCTAATTTTTTTAGGAAATTCATACTTTTGTGGCTACTAAATTGGAAAAATTGAGAAAGTAAACTTGTAAAACCAAAGAGGCACATTACAGAAAAAGAACTTACCTCAATATTACCGCCTACACGAGCCAGTAATGGAGGAAGAGGTCTATCTCTTTCAGACTTTTGATCTGGGCGACGTTTTGCTCTTCTACCTCCTTCCGCTGAAAAAAAAAGATCAAGAAGTCAGAAACAACCATCACTAAAATAATCGTGGCAAAATTTTACTCTGTAATAGTATAGGGGTGCAGAATTTGTGCCATCGAACAATCCGCGGATCGATTAGGAAGTTCAACAAGAGACTAGTTCTGAAACTTTCATGGGAGGGAAAATGTAAGGCGCACATGGTTATGTTTTTAGGGTACTTACATTATGATGGCACTATATTTCATGAAGGAAACTTTAAAGGGCGCTCAAAAATGTGAAGGAAACTTTGTTAAAGCATGCTAAAAAATATGAGAAAAATTATAAAGCCTGTTCTTTTATGAGCGCAAGTTTGAAGATGGAAAACTATAGGAGCTAAATTGCATGGTAATATTAGAAAGGGTAAATATTGTCTGTGAATAATTTTGATAATTTTAAAACCAAAACCATTAGACTGCAGAGAAAAAACAAAAAAGAGGACTTACCATCGTTCTTTTCATCAAAGTCATCATCATCTCTGTCTTCATCTGAAATAAAAGGAAAATATTTAATACATAAACTTCTTAAGGAATGATTTTCAATAATAAATCAGCAGCTTCAAAGAGCTAATCGTAATTTGTAAAGTTGAATCCAGACAGAAATTGCAGGCAAACGGCAGATCTTCTCGAAAAGCGGCCTAAGCCAGTGTGTCACAAAAAACATAGATCAGAAAAATAAGCCGCAGCCCAGAATTGCCTATCTCTCACTTTTTTTCTGTCCCAAAAAATGGATTCCTGCATCTGCAGGCCGGTGCGGTGGCCATAAAATTGAATCTTCCCCCTCGTCCTGCCCTCATTGATCCAGAAATTAATAGCTTGGTCATTTTTTTTTTTTTGACAGAATAATTGTCCTGATTCTGCACTTTAGAGTGAAAATATTTCACTTGGAACACTTTTAAAGGAAGGAGATACAACCCAGCAAATATCTTAATAACTGCGATGGTTTGAGGATACAAACATATGAATAAGCTTGAATCTAAACAGCAAACATATCCCTAATCTTCATTGATGCTCATTGCATATTCTTTGGTCCATCTAACATCATGGGAAAATGCAAAACTGTCAGTCTGAGTGTTTATGCATCAACACACAAGTGTTCATAGAGGTATTTGGATCTCATGTGTCGAATAGACCCATTAAAAAATAGAATTGAGTTCATAAAATCATAACTCCACACGTGCCAAAAATAATAAGCAGAAAATATGATCAAAGTCTGACCTGATGGAGCTGAGAAGTCTGAATTGTAATCGGAGAGATTCTCTTGCCAGGTGTTATCTTCGCGAGTATCAGCAGCCCCTCCATCATTGTAATTGACTTGTTTGCGCACTCGTTTGCCTTTGCCAAGGGTTCTGGAAATGTCTTCTTGCTGCTGTTCGTAGTGATGTCTCAGAAGCTTCACCCAATATGCAGGGTCTGTGTTTTCTGCTTCTTGTTTGATGACTTCTGTACCAACTTCTTCCTCCTACACAGACAATTTAAAACTTGTAAATTTTTACAAAAACTAATACAGTTTAGAAAATTTGATTCTCTTCCTGAGCTGTTGCTTTAAGCTGATAAGAAAATTCGTTCTTCATTTGTGATAATTATTACATTGGGGCGCTCTTCAGCGCTTTCTGCCACTTAAACCCCTCTTACCCCTATCCTCCTAAAGCCCCTCTGAAGGCTGATGATCCTTTGCTACTTATTCAGCCCCATGTCCGCAACCCTTTCACTGAGCATCCTTTTCGTCTCCTCCCAGGAGGAACCCACCCAGTCAAGCATCTTTTTTGCAGCCTTCCTTCCTTCTTTCTGCTCACATGACCGTACCAAACTAATTGCTTCGTCATGACGGAGAATGCAATATCACTTTTAACATTTATGCTCTTATGTACATACTCCATCATTATGGACCCGATCTCTTCTAGAGATTTCTGCTGATCACTTCCAGAAATCAGCCTTCATTGCCCTTTCTTAGCTGCCAAACTTCACATCCATACATTAAATTACGTTTCATTATGATATTGAAAATCCTCCTCTTGTCTCCTTTCGAAGTTCAATGATCCAAGAGGACTCACAGAAAAAAAATGAAAATACAACATCAATTAGCTGCAGCTACTCATTGCCATTTCATGATGGGATTCAGCTTATAGCTTAACTTAGAGGAAAACAGGCTAGGAGAAAATTTACTCGAAAAGGTTGCACATTAATTTTAGTACACAGATATAACGAGACTTACTTCCTCTTCTTCTTCCTTAGTTACATAGCTGGCAACTTTGAAGGAGGACAAATATTCATTAGACCAATTTTCTTTCTGTTCGATACCCATTTTTGATCTATCTAGCAATTCTTCCACAGCTCTGTCATCATAATGAATGGCTTCTTCTGTTTTGCCTTCTTCTTCTTTGAATAGTTCCTCAGTTCCGAACCTGAGGGAAAACAGAGAAACAAACAGTCATCAAAGGTGGGAATACTTGAAAGTTAGGCTACGCTCCCACAAAGAAGTATTCTTTCTAAACAATGTAGGGGGACCTACAAAATAAAACCCGAAAGTCTGTTGTGATTTGGCAATGGTTCAAAGATCTTGCCTCCGTTGCCATTGGGTTTAACTAGGAGCTAAGCAGAATTATTGGGCCGAATTGCAATATTGCAGCACATTCAGTATCATTCCGAAGAGATTTAGAGTGATATTGAGTGATCACCTCATTTTTTCAAGGTGCTTTTTATGAGCAAAGCGCGGGAGACGTTGTTGACCATTTCACTACTTTTTGTAAGGAACATCTTACATCCAAAACTCTCAAGTATGAATGGTTATCTCGTTTTAAAAGTGCGATTTAACATTCGACTGTTGGCCAAGGTCCCAATGTTGTTATCGGTTGGAATGATAGAAGGATAATATGTAAAGGACCATTTTAGCAGCAACGCATTAGATGCAGAAGCAATGCTTTGGACATTGCCTAATGCAATTCAATCAATTCTGCAAGTTCATAAAATGTTCCCTGGCTGTTATTTGCATGAATGCAAATTTTATCAATGGATGCAAATATCTTACCTCAATATGTCATCTAATTCCTGTTTAGTGAAATTTGTTTGTTTTCCTCCCATTCCTGGTCGTACGACTAAATGGGTTAGCATCATTTTCCTCTTGGCAACTTGTGTGACTCGTTCTTCAACAGAGTTACGAGTGACAAAACGGTAGATCATGACTTTGTTGGCTTGACCAATACGATGAGCACGAGAGAAAGCTTGGATATCATTGTGAGGGTTCCAATCTGAGTCATAGATAATGACTGTGTCGGCAGTGGCCAAGTTGATTCCCAGACCTCCAGCTCTGAAAAAGAATCATTATGATAAGCACTCCAACTCCTCTATTTTTGTGAATTTCTTCTGAGTTATTGTTCAAATTAATGCAACCTATTTGTAGGATCATTAAGGCCGTTCCTCCCTGGATGAACCTGCTATCCTTGATATTTTTTTCATTTTTGACCTAGTTTTCTTCCGTCTTATTATTGAAGGGCGAAGTATTGAACAACATTAACAATTTAACCAATTTAAAATAAATTCATTTTCGCCATCTATTCATGAGAGCCTACCCCTCTTTCCTAATCTACACCCGCCTATTCCTGAAGACCTTCCTGCAGTCAGTACCTCAAAATCCACATAATGAATGGGGGGGGGGGGGGGCGGCATAGATCTTAGAAATCTTTGTCAAAGAATCATATAAAAAATTCATATGGTTCAGGTGTCAGGACTTCCTATCGCTTTGAGTCCTATATCATTTAAGCATTAAAAATCTATGACTCACTGCCATTTTGGAACAGGAACACAAACAGTCCTAAAATTTGCACTAAGATGTGTCTTTACCATTTTCTTTTCAAAAAACGTATCACAGGTGGTGATTGCCAATTTAAATTATGACCTGACCTCCTACTCCTTCTTGATGAAATCGATCCTCAGTGAAAATTGACCAAGAGCAAATATCACATAAAATTCATACCTGGTTGACAAAAGAAAGACGAACTGGGGGGCTCCTGGAGCGTTAAATCGATCAATAGCTTCCTGACGCAGGGAACCTGTGATGGCCCCATCAATTCTCTCATACTTGTAGCCTTCGCCTTCGAGGAAATCCTCTAGCAAATCAAGCATTTTCGTCATTTGAGAGAAAATCAGAACCCTGAAATGAAAAATTGGACTTAAATTAAACTGAAGACCAAAATAAATTGATAATAAAAAACATTATCTGCAACACCTATGTACAGCAAAATTTCAAGCCTCAAGGAAAACATATTTGAAAGGTTTATTGCTTGTTGCTCAAGGCGTTTTTAATATTTAGTTTAGTTCCTGTTTCAGGTTTCCTTTCATGTGATGGTTCTTGCACCGATGAAAGGCTAGATTGACTAGAGCTTGACTAGAGGCTAGATGAAGGCTCTCTCTTAACTTGCTTGACTGAGCAGTGTTTAGTTCTACTACATATTTTCCTTTGATTTGGGGGTGGAATTCATGTGTAAAATAAAATTATGAAAATTGGAGAGGGGGAAGGATAGAACCTGGATAATCCTCCATAAATTATTCATTTTAAATATATGAACGATGTGCTGGTTTTGGTGAAATAATGGGAATGTGACATGTAATACAACGTAAGGAAAATCTGTAAGATGCTGGTAAAATTAAGTGAAACTCTTTCAATTTAATACTGCTGATAATAGAGCAGTAGATACCATTAGTTCACCAACATTTTAAGAGTTACAGCTTTCCACACAGCTTTGCTGATAAGACGGAATTTGGCCATAACAGAGCCAATTAATCTCTTTGCATCTGACAAGTGTCCAAAATACTTCTTCACAATTGATCAAAGTTAAAAAAAAGTGGAATTCAATTGAAGCTTACCTGTGACCTTCATCTCGCAACTTTTTCAACATTTTCTGCAGAAGTACAAGTTTTCCTGCAGCTTTGGTTAGAGCCTGGATTTCATAAGCACCGTTAGGTCCAGAGGGAGCTTCTTGTGCAGCAGCGGGGAATAAATATGGATGATTACAACACTTCTTCAGATCCATCATGATGTTCAACAGAGAAACTTGCTGACCTCCTCCTTTTGGATTCAAAGCTTCATAATTCCTCGTTAGAATGTATTTGTAATATTTCTTCTGCATTGGAGACAGTTCCACTCGAACAATGAATTCTGATTTTGAAGGCATATTCTGAAATTGAGATTCAAAGGTAAGAGCACAAGGTTAAAAATGCTTCAGAATGGATCATCAGTTTTGGCATAGTACATTTTACAAACAATCAATATATTTTTAATTTGAATCTTTGGGGGGATTATTTAGGAAAAATTGAAACGTCACTATCTACATCATTGAATATGAACTGATACTCTTGACAGAAAAAAAAGCTTAAAATTGGAAATAGGATGTGTGATATATTGAACGAGAGTAAAGGAACAAGACATGCACATGTAGCGCTGCGATAAAACTGAATACTTATAGCAAAAATTTACAAAATTTCAATTACAGAATTAAAAATGCAACACTTTTGGGCACCCTCTTCTTCAAATTCATGCATTAACAAAGGTTTTGTCTACAGACACGGTAGACATGGTCTTCAGACATCATAGTTCACCAAATGAGTTAAATTTGCTACTTTTTCAAACATTTTACCACTATCCTATCTAACATATGGAGTGTTACGATGCACATTAGAATGAAAAGTAGGAGGAGAATAGGATAAATTTTAGGGCTGGCTGCTAGTTAACCCTCAGTTATTTAAAACATTTTGCTCGGAAAGATCCAAGTCAGTGGCGTTGACAAAAAGCCTGATCGAGAATATAAGCATTCTGATTCAATGACAGTCATAGATGAAAAAACATTGTTTGGTCCGTTTATGAGAATACGATGACCAGAGAAACAAATAAAATTTTTCAAAATATCTGACCATACACCCATCTCACACATTAACTTATTTTTTCATGATAAATTTACCTTGAGTACGTCTGCTTTCAATCTTCTCAACATATGAGGCCCAAGCATCTCATGAAGCCTCTTAACTTGTTCCTCTTTTGAGATATCTGCGAATTCGTTTTGGAAGGCAGCAAGATCATTGAATTTGTGAGGTGTCAAAAAGTTCAGAAGATGGAACAGTTCCTCCAGGTTATTTTGGAGCGGTGTACCCGTCAATAGCAATTTGTAGTTGATATTGTAACCAGACAAGAGTTTGAAAAACTGAGGAAATCAAAGATGATGAATTAATATTGAAACTAAAATGTAAGTTCAACAAATTTTGAAAATACAGTAAGATCTCGATTTATCGGATTTAACAGGACCGCAGGTCGAATCCGTTAAATCGTGCTAGTGAGTCCCGCTAAAGGGACCAAAGAATCTTTCCGTTAAATCCTGATCCGATAATTCAAGATCTTACTGTAACAACAAATGATAATGTACTACCACCTGGGTGATTTTTGGCCCCACCTGGGGGCAACTTTTTCAGTTCATTCTCAAGAAGGTCAGTACCTCTTCAACATAAATATTCAATGCTTTTTCAGTGCCGCCATTTGATGAAATTTGAAAAATTTCAAAAATTTAAATTTCTCGCTCAAAAATTACAAAAAAGAAAAAAATTCCGGACCTTCTTGCGGAATTTCCGCACTTTTTTAGTACTTCCGGACCGCCTTTAAAAAATCAGTACTATTTCCGGGAATTCCGAACTTGTAGACACCCTGAACAAGTCATTAATGAATATATTTCTGTGTGTGTTGTTATGAAATTATTTTCATATTTTTTATTTCATGACAACTATTAGAATTTCTTTTTAAAAAGGGTAGAGTGATAGCAACAGTGGCACAATGAAGAGATGTTTGCCTCTAAGAAAAAACCTTTTAGAGCTCATTTAACATAAATGGACTTGCCTGATCATTCCTGCTGTGCACACAAGAACAACTAGTAGGATTCCCTTTTCCACTTTCAACAGTGGCCCAAAAAAGAAACCAATATAAATTTATTTAGATAATCCAAGGGTTATCACTTTAGGAAATAGCCTCGCATCATGAAATTTCTCTTGCGTTTGAGACTCTCAGATCAACCAATTTTGGCACCATTGAATTGTAAAATGGATAACACAGTTTGTCATAAAAATTCAATTTTGTAATAAGAATGGTACATACCTTAGACTGATTACTTTTTAAACGATGAGCTTCATCTACAACTAAAACAGCCCACTCAATGGAGCCAAGTAAAGCAACATCAATGGAGATCAATTCATAACTAGTGAGCAAAACATTAAATTTAACGTTACTGGAACGAATTTTTGTGGCTCTGCCTCCGCGAGTAGCATTTTCATCAAAAGCAATCTCGTGTTCGCGGATGACCAATCGAGAATCCTTGTCTCCAACGTAAGTTACACAGTAAAAGTCAGGAGCCCAAGTTTCAAATTCACGTTCCCAATTGATAATTGTGGAGAGTGGAGCACTGACCTGTAAAAGAATAAAATAGTATTAAGTGATGAGGAGCAAAAATTAGGATACTCGCTGGTTTGAAGTAATCCAACTTCTCGAGATTTTTGTTAAATAATTTACTTAAGATGATTTGAAGTATTGCACTTAGTTTACTTGTATTTATTTCATATCTTAATTTTTGTACATCAAAAGTGTTCTGCCTTTCCTTCTGTACTTAAGTTTTAATTTTAATAATTCTCTGTCAAGGTAGGAACATTTTTGCTTCTGTTCCAATCTATGAATTCTCAATAAAATTTATTAAAGGAGAGAGGGGAAAAAATGCCTTTTGGGCATAATAAATTTAGGCATGGGAGCAAATTCTGAATTTCACATAAAAGAAAAGCGTTTAAGATACATTTGTAGCAAAAAAATCAAACTTCCGACTCAAGGAGGGAGAGGACAGCCGTTGCATTTTCTGCTTCTTGAATGTCAAAATGACCTCATTGGACAGCCCTCTTGTCAAATTCTAAACAAGTCCTTTGGAGTCAAGAAAAAGGTAAAGACCAACAATTGAAACCTTTCTGCAGTCCAGTTACCTGTTTTCCAGGTTGCGTGCAACCCTGTGAAAAAGCCTGGAACAATTACTTACCAAAAATGGCCCTTTACAATGTCCTTCTTTGTACAGAGAATACAGGAAAGTGATTGTCTGAATGGTCTTGCCGAGACCCATCTCATCGGCCAGAATTGTGTCAATGCCTTGACCCCAAGAATACCGCAACCAGTTAAGACCTTCCAGCTGGTAGGGATGAAGTGCCATTCCGGTCTCAGAGATGAAATCTGGCTGCTTCTCATACTTTTTCTTCAAGTCAGAAATAGGCTTCTCTGGAGGTGGAGTATACCTACGCCTGGGAATTCACAAAGAATATTAAAGAAATTACATAATTTAGTTTTGCAACGACAAGGCAGGTTGTGCTTTTTGGTACACTTTGACAAGCTTTAAATAGATTGACATAAAGATTATTCACAGTCCAAACCCAATAATTATGCGAATTTTGTAAGTAGAAGCCCAGGTGGCGTAATTGAGCATACACTACTTATGAATATGGCACTGCAAGGTGGAGGAATTATGTTCTCTCTCCCAACTGTTTGGTGCATCTGTTTAGTGTTATCAAAGGCGTCTGAACTGAATTCATGAACACAAAGCACCTGTCTCATCCCTGTATAAATTGATTCTGTTTTGGTGACTCGGTAAGACTTCTTGATCCTTTTCCTCAGTTTATTCTTCAAATGACTTCTGTAAACTTAGTTCAAATAACCCAGAATAGTTGAGGATACATGGAAATATAGATACTTACGGAGATTTGCCATCGATTCCATTTTCTTCTTGAAGTTCTTTAGTCTTGGTTTTCTTACTTTTACCCTTTTTATTCCGTTTGCTATCATTGTTATAGTTAGCCCGTAGGTCCTGAAACAAGCAACGTAGATCAGTTGTTATTTTGATAGGCTGATTGATGAAACTCACTATTCACAACTGATGAAAAATAAGTTACTGGCTACCTATCTCCCTGAGTAATAAAGTAAGAGATTTGAGAGCATCCCTTAAATTATCTTGTTCGTTGCTCCCATTTATTAAAAGTGGATGGATGCAGGTTACAAAGCCATCAACAAAATGAAAACTTTTGAGTTACTTCACTCATAAGACAAGATCAACAAAATCAAAAGTTTTGGCAAAATCAGTGTGAAGTGAATCAACCTGAAGAAAGCAATTCATCATCTTAGCAATAAAATCACCATAAACAAGGAACTCAAACACCACAAATCTACCCCTGACAAAATCATGTTCTGACTGAGCAATTGGCCTGCTAATTTGAATTACGTACTTTGATTTATCATTGACTTGAAATTTAATTTGGGAGAGTGCAAAATTTGGTCATTATAAAGATATAACTTTCTTCATCTTGCTTCAGCCACTTGGAACTACTTTTTTGCTGCAGGAACAATGCGCCCATTACCTCCGATTGGCTGAATTTAATAAACTTTGACAAAATGGGCGCCTGTTTCCCCTTGATGTAGTGAGTCAGCTTAAATAGTCTCGTGGGCATGTTGAAAATCAACAACAATTGTCAAAACGAGAGCTGGCAGCACAGATCTCATCAGCAAAAACAAAAGTTAGAACATAAGATGGGTCATGCTAAAGAATAAAATAAAATAAATTACCAAGTAATATTCAATGGCGCTTTTTAAGCCAGTGATCTCATCGTCTTCTTCTTCCCAAGTAGCTTGATCATACGAAAGGTCACGCCATTTGACTAAGTATAGAGTGCGGCCATCACGCATTGTACGGTGGTTAATAACCCTGTGTACGATGAGCCATTCTGGTTTGACACCATACCTGATTAAATGAAGAAAAAATAAAACAATCCAGTTAAAAAAGAAAACTAGGTAGTCAATAATAAGTCATCATAAAGGTCATGAAATGCAGAAAATCATGCACATTTGTTGGAGCATGTTGTTGGGAAATAGCAGTAGTTTTGTGATTTTTGCACTATTTGGGAATAATTTTGGATTCAGGATCACAAGAAAGTTGGGGTAAGTTGGTCACTAAGAGTTTGTGCTCACAAAATCTACAGAAAAGATGTAAATCCTTACAGAAATCGAAAAAGATTAGAAAAATCTAACATTTAAGAGAGACTATCAATTTTGCACAGATGTACGATTATGAACACAACTGCACACATTTGTAAGACTTTAAATCTTTCATACGCATAAAGTTATTAATTCTGCACAGATGCGAGATTGTGAACGTACTTTTAGCACGCCAAGTCCATCTATCTCTTTATATGTGCCACTCAGGACAAGATTGTTGCGGCTTACCTATAATATTTCTCTTCCAAATTCTGATCGTTTTCTTCGGTTGCTCCTTGGTTTCTTATCCTCTTCATCCGATTATCCATTTCATCAAGAGGCTCCTCAAGTTTCGGTGGTTCATCCATGTCATATTTTCGGAAATACAGCCGAGTCATTTGTGGATTAAAAACTTCCATCTGTAGTTCAGAGAGCCAATCACACTTCCAGTATGATTTCTCGTGCCACTTGACAAAGAATTCCCTTTGCCGTGGTGGTTTTCTCGTCTTCTTTGCTGGTTTCCCATCTTCAGCTGGTTTCTCTTCAGGAGGATCTTCTTGCTTACACCAGCGCCAGGTGAGGATTTTCGCTACTTTACCAGGCAGCGGCTTGGCCGAGCAGCGAGGGCACTTCCAATCTCCGTCTGGAATGTCTTGAAGTGGAGGACTGAGACAGAATGTATGATATGCGGAGGGACATGAATCACAGCACAATAACTCACCACCATCCTTGCAGACTCTGAAAAATAAGTTGACACCATTTGATTCCATGCATATTCATCTGGACACATATGAAAATGAAATATATCAAATGAACACATGAAATGACTATTGTATAAAAAATAGACATGTTTTTTTTTTTCCTTTCTTAAAAAAAAATACAGGTTCGTGTTGTTTTAACAATCTCATTTCCTTGAGGCCTGGATTGTAAAATCTCACTTAATACTCAATTTTGTAGATTTAATTGCGGAAATAGCAGAGAGCAATGACATAGCGACTTTATGCATCTCTTTTTTTCATCAGCTTCAATGAAAATTGTTTGGATCTCAACCTTATTTAAATGGCTACTTTGGTATTCATAAACTTATGATTTCTCCAGTAACTATTTCCTGCATACCACTCTAGTACACATGAAGTTATCAGCTCCAGTGATGTGCTTATTCAGGTTTAAAACAATATCACTGAATACTTTGGACAAGGGGAATAAAATCTTACGCCAAAGACTTAGACATAGGTGATTTTACCTGCAAAACTCTTGATGTTGATCATCGTCTTGCTCTTGGGCTCCTTCTCCTTCACAATGTGGACAGGACCATTTGCCTTCAGGAGTATCCTCTAGTTCAGGGTCCAAACACACCAGGTGATAAGCCCTTGGACATGTATCACAAAGAATAATTTCTCCACCTTGTTGGCAGACTTCACAATAATCTTGATGGTCCGTCTGAAATTCATCATGCAATGAAAAAAATGTATCATTTGTCACTGGGTAAAAATCAGGTAGCAAAGTCTGATAAATATAATTAACATAAAATATTTCCCATTCTTATTTTCTTTAATTATTAGATTATCTTAATCAATCTTTTGATAAATTACATGTACATGCAAACTGCACCAGGGTGAAGACTCAAGAGAAAGACCCCCATTTGTTGAGGGTCAATTTTGCACACCAGGACAACTTATAATCATGGGTCAGTAGCACCTACTTTATTTCAATTCATTTTCTGAAAGTACCAGGTTAACTAAGCTTCTAGGAATTTTTTCAGATTTTTTTAAACTTCAAAAGACAAAGAAACCCAGTTTGAACAGATATATTTGGTGGGTGTTGATGACGTAGCCAAGCAGGGAAAAAGGCGTTTGTTAATTGGCTGAACTCATATTTAGGCATCACCTTACTACATCAACTAGACTGACAGCTTTTAATTAACTTTTTCTCCCCTTCGAAATGATTTTTTGAACTTTTTAATGAACTTTTTGTTTATTTCACGAAATTTAACAAGAGAAAAACTATAGAGCAACCATGCAAAAATTCCTTGCTGAAAACTTATTTGAGAGATTTGCTTTTCAAAAGTTTGTCCAAAAAGATCCGCCTTGGTACAAAAGTTACTTTAGATTGAATCACAGACCACAGAGAAGATGGAAGACTCTGCTGTTCTGCTTACCTCATAACCATCCTCTCCCTCTCCAGCTGGAAATTTGGATGTAGTTTTTGTCTTCTTCTTCTTTTTGGACTTACTCCCTATCTTGGTTTTAGCCTTCTTTTTCGGAGTTTCTTCATCATCTTTGGTGACTTCTGTTTCTTCTGCTTCCTGCAGCATTTGCTCAAATTCAGCATCAGAATCTCTGTCTGAACCAGCAGCTGCACCACCGTCACCTTCTTCATCCTGAGGAAAATTAACACATGTAATTAGTATAGTATTCAGTGGAACCTCAAGTTATTATGATTAAAGGAGACAATTTTTTGATGATTAACTAGATCAGGTCCTCTTGTGAGGAACCATAGCATCTATGACGAAATTTCAAAATTTATCAAAGCAGGGAGCATTTTGTAAACAGCGATGATTGTACTTTGAAAAGAGGGATCAATACATGACCTTCACTGGTGAGGTTTCAAAGCTTGATAATATAGGTTTTAGAGATATGTTGCTGGAACTTGAGAAAGTCAGTTTTTCACGTTTCTGTCATACTGCTGAATTAATTGCTCATTTCAGGGTAAGATTTTAGCAGCATGATATGGTGGTTTCTTTGAAACCAACACCGACGATTCTCCTTATGTAAGCCTTTGAATTTTCTTATTTTAATTGATGAGAGGGGAGAACTTACGGAACTATTTTGCTTGCGCTTCCCGAGTTTAATTTTAAGAGTAGGAACTTTGGTGTTGGAGGCAGGAGTTCCACTCTTCCTACCACCTTTCTTACTGCCTCGACCTCTTTTCCTTTTGGATTTCTCCTCCAGTTCTTCATCTTCTTCGTCACCATCTGCATTGTCCTCAGACTGAACAGCCGACTGCATTAGATAAAATTTCAAATTAGAAAATTAAAATTTTTAAAACAAAAGCAAAATTCATTTGAAGAAGTAATTATAGTGGAATCTGCTACGTTGCTTGATGAAATTAAAGAAAAGATACTAAAACACTGTTCAAGAGTAACAGGTCTTACGCTGAAAGATTCACTCCTAGTCAGTGAATTTTAAAGAAAGAAAATATGTTTGCTGTCGTCATCTTGGCTTTCTTGGCAATGTGCATTTAAATGAGATCTGAAACTACGCAAATCTGAACTTGTTTTACGGCAGATCTATAATGAAAAAAAAAATAATCAGAAAAGTTCTGTCGAACCAAGTGCAATCCGTTTAGTTGGCCATTTCAGTTTCAAAATTCAATTTTTTTTCTTTTTTTTTTTTTTTTTTTTTTTTTTTTTTTTTTTTTTAAAGAAAAATTTCATCTGCTTTTAATCATAATCACAGATAATCCCTTCAGTTGTAATGTAACCTCATAAATCTGTCATTGTACAGCTCTGAGAATCAACCTAAGAAACTATTACCTTTGATCGAGATCTACTGGATTTCGGTGTGTAATCAGGTTCTTCATTGACTTCTGATTCTTGCTGCTGATCTTGCAGGTGTGGATTGATGTTGGAGAAATCTCGCCATTTTGCAGCAACCAGCATCATCATTTTGCCAGTTGGGACCTAGAGCAGGGTTTAAATGAATTAGTAAACAGGCTGAAATTGTGACTTTTAAAACAAATAAATATGTCAGCAGAACTTTCACACCATGAATGACCCCTAAATTCCACTATTTTCCTCAGATTATACGGAAAATCTGTCTCCATTATCTTACCAAATATGGGTCCCTTACAATTTTCCCCTAAAATTTACATCCCAAAATTTGCAATTCCTCTAAATTTCACACCCTACAACAGTTAAAGTACCAAAATTTCAAAGAAATGTATTTAATGTAAAAATGTAATAACTGAACGCACGAGGGTGACAAGATGGAGCAAGAGATTTTGGATTCGTGGGGAAAGTCAAATAATTTTGCTCATAAAATCAAAACTCACCTTTGGATTCTCTTCTGCTAAAATAGGCCTAATATGCTGTTGAAAAAGTTTGTAAGTTGTAAGATTTTGGAAATCCGAATCTGTATAATCGATCCTGACATCTGTTAGGCCGAATTTTTCACAAACATCTTCAACTGATGGCATTCCTACAAAAAAAAAGAGAATCAGTATTCAGTCCATTCATAGAAAAGCACAGTTTAGAAAAGCGAACACACAGTAGTACAAAGTAGTAATAAGCTTACAGGATTGACAAAGGTGGCTTCTATTTTGACTTCCTAAGAATTCTAATTTTAAAGTTGGAATATTGAACTGGGGGAGTAAGAGTTGTGTTAAGGAAGTGAAAATGCCTCCTGCCGACTTCCTGCAGCGACATCGGCCTAATGAAGCTTGATCGCACAGTCGGGAGTTCGTAATATTGGACTTTTTCGACATTTAAAAGAGAAACACACTTAATCAATTTTCTTATGTTTCCCCTGTCTGGCATATATTTACACCTTGACGGTTAAACTGCAGAAATGCGTATCTCAGTTAGCCGCGTTACAGACTTCCTGCCATACATGGTTCTCTACATGGAAAGCTACCGAACATTATTTTTTTAAATCTCAGTGGTTATCTTTCTCTTTATGAAGAATAAACTGTAAAAATTTCAAGCCTTGATGTTGTCTTGCTCTCCGATAATATAAAAAATTGGTAGCAGAGATTTCTAAAGAACTCAACTGAGATGCACATTTTGCAGTTTCACCGTCCACATGTCCATTTGAGTGACTATTTCTAAAACTTATCATTGTCTCAAATTTTTGGTGGGCTTCCTGAAGAATTTAGCAACACTTCTGCTTAGTTTGCAGAAATACATGAGGTGTCTCAAAAGAAAGACTGGTGCCACCATCTCAAAACTAAGCTGCCAAGGGACTCTATTTCGATCCCAATTTCAATCTAATCTTCCTCTATTAATTGAGATAAAGAACAGCACAGCTAGATGACAATTAAAAAAGTTATGACAGTTCATGGACGCTCTCTGATTACGCTCCATGTGCGCTGCTAACAGGGTTTTGACAAAATTTGTTTATTTTCCTAAGTTTCTTGGTTTTACGAAACATGACAAATACGTTTGATTCCTTGGAATTGCTTGTTAATACCAGTCAAAAATTCAGCAGGATTCTTGTGAGCTAAGTGCATTCTCTTATTTTTAAAAATGCAAGGATTAAAAATTACTGAACAGACTCACTAGAACCATTCTATTGTGATACTAATGGAGTTTCGTTTGCTCGTTAAATACTTAATACAGACTGTTAGTAACATTACCTGAATCAACATTTTGAGAGACTGTCGGTGTTGCATGTTTACTGCTACTGCCTTTGGATTTACGAGACTTACGTCCACTGTAGTCTGAATCATTTCCGCCAGTGCTGGTTCTTCCTGCACCATCATCCTCGAGGCCAAAGTCACTTTCCTAGAATCAGAATGATTCAGATTCTCAATTAGGATGACTACTGGTGGGTACTACATCATTTAAATTTTACGCTTATTTATTACCAATCATACAATTTCTTATACTCCAAAACATTCTTTTTTGGAGGAGTTTCCAAATATTCTTGCGTTTTGATGACTAAACATTTCCTTTAATTCTTCCTTATCCTACATGTATTTTAAACATGAACGGAAAGTGGGTAAAGTAGGAAACCAAACACAATATAAGATACCAAATGAAAATAAGAAAAAAATGAAACATCTAAAGTAATAAGTAAAACTTGAAACAGATGGAAAAAGAAATGGAAAAAAAAAAATAAATAAATTTTACACTCTCTTCACATTTTCGAAATACGATCCCAGTTTTTGAAAATTACATGATTCAAATGAGAAATCTCTGATCAGATTGATGTAAAACCCCTCTGTCTTGACGTACAATTTACGTCTACTTGGAAGCAGACTTCTGATTCTAGTAATACAAGTTTAGAGGGCAATCTGAAAGATTTATAACGTCAAAACTTACATAGAATTGGAAATTTTCGAAAATTTTTGATAGTTTCACTACCACAGTTTATTTCAGTTTTGAGTTAAGTTTATTTTAACAAATGGAAAATTGTATTTTAGTTCACTTTCCAAATGTGAGACCAAAAATAGAAGTTTGAGAGCAGCACCTCCAAATAGTTTGTTTCGGCATAAATTCGGGACAAAGGCTTCTTTGACTTTACATTCTAAGTAATGAAGAATTAAATTTTGTTTGGTTTAGATGAAACACTGAGGTTTATTTTTCCCAATTGGTAAGTTGTGTTGTTCTCAGAATTGTTCTTGTCGGTCAGCTGAAAATATTAATATCTGTCCAAAATGCAACTTCCTGTTATTATTATACATTAACTGAGATATCGCCCTTTGAAAACTTCTGTTTATGACATCATCCACCGCAGTAAAGACACCCTTGATTTCTTCCACAGCCAAAAGGGCTTTTCCTTGCCCCCCTCTCATTATTGTTTTCCTCTGGCCAGGAAGAATGGAAATCTCATTACTTGAGAGAGAAAAAAAATTCGAGTAAAAAATGAGACAGAGCAGAGATGAAGCATGTGTAAAAATTGTTTGTCTGTCATGATCAACTGCCCTCTCCAAAAGGTTTTATTTTGTTCCAAATAAAATAACTGCTTACATCTTCACTGCCTCCTTTCTTCTTCTTTTTGCGCTTTTTCTCACGTTTGCCTTCACTGCGAGCTTTTCGCTTCTTGCCTTTCTTGCGTTTCTTACTATCTTCCGGCTCAAAATCATCATCATCTTCCTAGATAAAATCAAGCAAAAACATTCATAAAATAAAATGAAATATATGTTAATAAATCTTCAAAAATTTGAGGGTAAAACAGATGAGAGTTCATGAACTAATCCTTCTTTCTGATTTTCCTCCACATGTTATCAATATCCTCATTAACTGAATTTTACAGAAATAATGCACGACTTATGAAATAATACCATTACTCTTTAACAGAATAATATTTAAACATGACTTTTTGAACCTATTGAAATTATTCTATCACATAAAAAATATTTCCATGGAGATGGTACATCAAAGTCAATTTTGGGTCTTTCTTTGAGACAGCTTAGTCCAAACTTCAGCAACTAGCGCACGCTGACTGACAATTATGAATGCAATGACAATTATAGATGGAACAGAGTTATATAAATAATGAATCAGTAAGCCTTGTATTGAGAGACTTTATGAATATAGCCCATGAGTGCCATTTAATTCTGGATTTATTATGATAAGGGTCGACTTAATTTTACAAAATTCAAGAGAATAAATATTATTCATTAAAAAAATAAAAGAACATGGCTTGAAATAGCACAGAACTACCAATCATCATGATTATAAAATGAAGCACTACAAGTTAAGATGGATTGCAAGTTTCTTATTCTTATTTTAATTTGACTCCTGGTATTTGTTGAACATCTTTGGGCACAATGTCAGTAGTTTGATACTCCATGCAAATGTGATTTACCATTGATAATTAAAGTATAGTAACCGAGGTTCATTAGGAAATCCAAAAATTCTCAACTTACTTCTACTTGTTTTTCTTCAGCTTCAGAACCTGCTGCTGAGGCATCTTGATTCTCCTCAACCTCCTCACCATCTTCGGCTGCAAAAAGAACAAAAAATGAAACGCATTAGTATCAATGTGAAAGTTGAAAATGAAGAAGTAGAAGTCTTGAGCTCCTATCTGGATGGCCAAAGAATTTTGGAATTAAAGTGCCCTTAGTTTTTCTTCGTCTGACCACCTTTATGGGAAATTTCTGTACTTACTTTTAAGACAACATAGGATGAAAAATATAATTTCAAGATTTTCCAAAATAATATTGGCCTCCTGAGGTACAGTGAATGTTGCACCAGCTTTATGATCAGGAGGTCTCAGATTTGATTCTTCCCTGGCCAACCCAAGTCTGATGATCTCAAACAATGGTTGCTTGGGGCTGGGTGTCGAGAAGGGACTGAGGGGAGATGGGGCTATAAATGAAAGCGTAGGATTATCTGCCCTTTGAGGATAGGTGTTTGATGTGAAAAAAAAGTAAGCAGGACTAGGAGAAAAGTTCAAGCTATCTTTAGGTAGATGAAGACACATAAAAATTCTCAACTTTCATTAACATTGGTTATACCTGCCTAAAGGGTCATTTTGTTGTTTTTCACTTGTCTTTTCCCAGTTTTTCCTGACTGCAGCCATGCTATCACATTTAAGTGAATAAGGAAAAGAAAGAAAATGAATTCTTTGCATACATTTTGAGAAAAACCTTCACAATGAGGCAAAGAGAAAATTTTATGGAAAAATAATGACTAGTATGGAATCATGATGTAAAAACAACAAAGGGCAATTCACAAAATCTAAGCCTACCATTTTAGGGGGAAGGCAGAACACTATTTACCTTTGACGTGCCTTGTCTAATAGATATCTGCTCTTTAATTCTCACGCATACACTTAGTACATCTCATCCTATTCTTTCACATTCCCTCCTTGCATTCAATATTTTCCTATGAGATTGATTTATACTCTCACCTCGTACAAGCTTCATTTTCTCATTTTCCTACCACTTGTATTTTCAATGAGATAATGATGATTATTTGGTTGATAATTAAAATACCTGGGTCTTCTTCCTTTTCACTTTTGGTTAATGTCAATTCGTTATAAACTTAGTTGGGTAGCTTTTTACATTTAATCTACACTGATGAAATTTTGTCCTATTATGGTCCTCACAAGTACTAAGTAATCTTCCTGTAAAATTGAAACAATTCTCTTGATTCTCCAATACAATTGCTAGGATTAGGACATTCTATGCTCAAAAATGCATTTGGTGGATATTCTCATGAAGGCATACTGATTATCTCTGTATGTTAAATATATTACTACCATGAGATCAATACACTACCCTGCATCTAAAGTATCCTACTCCGTGAAGAGCTCTCTCATACTCCATTCACGACATGAAAATTGAAGCTCAAGTTTGAGGAACAGTGGCTAAATAACAAAAACTTGTCCTCCCCCAATGGAGAGGATAAAAAGGAACATCAAAACCGGTTTTAGAGAGGAAAATAAAAATAGATAAAGGACTAACAGATTTGTAACAGGTAACTCAAAAAGTTCATGCCAGCTTTGAGTTTGCTTGAAATCTCAGTATAAACCAAGTCCATTTTCTGAAGCATTTCCCATTTCCGACTTAAGGAGACATTTCTGTAACCGATTTAAGTTGACAGTGCTGTCAAAGATGATAGAACCCCCTAGCAAGTTAAAATCAGACTTCCTATCTTACTTTTTACCTAACAGTTGTAACTTGGAATTGAATCAAAATTGTCCATGTCAAGACTGGAAAAAGAAAGCTCAGTACCTACTTGTGAAATGAAAAAATGAAATTTAGTAAAAATTCTTTAACCTAAGTTTTATAGTTTTTTTCCGGCAGTTTCAAAGTGCCTACATCCCGACTGTTCCTGTACTCACGAAATCAACTAATATCAGATTTTCCTACTTCAATCCATTGAAGTATTACAGGTACTGCTGGGGTGTGAGGTGGTCTGTTAAGAGAGTGGACTAAGTAAATGACAGTGGTCCACTACTTTAACTTAAACTTTCAAGAATCAATAGTTACCACCACATAGTGGATTATCAATTCCTGACGTTAATTGAGCAAACTAACTGACCGTAAACTCTGCAAAATGCTAATTGATGATAGTATTGCAAAAATAATTGATAGCTGGTGATTTTGACACTCATCTAAGCATTAGGAGTGTGCAGTGTTACAAGTGCGGACAGTTACTAATTGATCGAAGTTTGCATGCCTAACGAGGTTGACGGAACGAATACAAAAATTAAATATGAAATCATGGCAAGCATCCAGCATCAGTCACAGAGGAGAGGGGTTAAAGCATAAACTCAGGGGAAATGATTCAGCCCCAGAGCAGAGATGGAGTTCTTTTCGGCAAAATTGATCGTGATAACAAAATTGCATGTTCGGACGAAACGGCCTTCCTAGTTCCTATTGTTCTGGTACCCTCCATTTTGTTTTCTTTTTGTTTTGGAAATGTAAACAGGGCAAGGAGAGGGGCTTTAATTTAATGACAAAGTGAATGCGAAATGGGATCAGAGAGGGTAATTAGAATATGTTGAATTGGATTTTTCCGAGTAATATCCATCGTAAACAGTGTGAAACCAGAAAAATTGAAACACCGATGCGGATATTGCTTCATTACGAGCTGCCGCGAAAAGCTGCGGGAACGCTTGGGAAACACAATGCATGCCGAAAACTCTTACCGGTATAAGACTCTTCTTTGTCTTCATCAGAGGCCATCACTTATTTAGTTAGTTAATCACACAAAAGTAACAACTCATAGACTTGAAGCCATATCAAAAAACTACAGCGATAATCACTGAAAAGGTACGCTAAAATCGAAAAATTTTCACGGCAGGGTCCGGAGCCAACCGGTTAGAACGTAGCTCAAGCTGCAAGCTCCCTGACTGCATAGAATAAGTTAGACTGGCCAAGCAGTCTCAAGCGTATGCGGAGGGTGATAGCAAGTGGTGCGAGTACGCGAGAGCGGTCATATTCTGCGTCATTTACACATTCTTTCACCGAACTGGATGCGGAAACAATGAATCTATGGAAATTAAATATTGCGGGGGAATATTAAGAAAATTTAGTCAAGTGACTGATAGAATGAATAAAACCTCAACTAAAAATCTTATGTACCCAATGACGTCAGTGGGTACATATCCTCCAATGACCCTCAATCACTATATACAGGGTGTTAGAAAAGTCACCTCACCCCCATTCAAAGAACCCCCCCCCCCTTAACCCATTCTACATGTTTACCTAAATCAGGTAAGAAATGTAAGAAACCTTGGGGGAACATTCCCTAGTCAAACTACTTCCTGACCCCTAAAAAGGTCACCCCAAACGGACACCCCATGGTGGTGTCCTTGGAGAGGAGGGGGTGGGGATTTTTTTTTAATGGAAAGAATATAATTGTGATACCTTATTCTGTAGCACATGAAAAATTTTAAAAAAATAAATAAATAAATAAATAATGCATGCGAGTCATTACCTTCAACCGTTTCTAATTGGCAAAAGTTACAAAAAGTAGCTTCTTTGACCTAGAAATGTCCCTCAAGTTTCAAATCTTAAAGTTCTTTCATCTTTTAAAAATTTGGTAAAAAAATTGAGGGGGAAGGAACTTTTATTTATCACTTTTTGAAGGAAACTCAATTTCGATTTCGAAGTTTGACACTCACTGCTCTCTTCCCTATGGCGGCAGCTAAGGCGACCATTTCTTGACTATCCAAAACTTTTGAGGGGTATCCCCCCCTCCCCCCCCCTTCAGGGAGAGTCAATACTTTCTTCTTCAAATGTCAACCACTCTTGTAATACCTCGTTTGGCGATGATAAAAAAGGACATTTTTTTATACCTTATCGCCTACTTATCGCAGGTTTCATTTTTTCTACGATGGGGGCCAAAAACCGGTGGGAAATTGATACAGTTTATTTGAGGTTGGATTCATTTTGGGGGAGGGGGGGCGAGGCAATAACAAGTCTAGCAAGAGTTATTTTAAATAGCCAAAATCTTTCGAAATGGCCAAAAAGGCATTTTACGCCATCTTGTTAAAAGTTGAGTTATTGACAATCTGTTTTTGCCAAAAAAATTTTTTTTTTCTTTTTAAGCTCTTTCGAATGATGGATCACAAGTCAGGAGTTTCTATTTGAAAAATTCAGGGTCTAATGCAAGAGAATGAATATGTGGAATAAATTTATTTTCTTGGCACATGGCGCGGAGTCCGAATCCCATCTCTGGGCTCCGCTCAGAAAATACAGGTCTAAAATTTATTTCACAAAAACAAGGAATTTTGTACATATTTCAATAATTTATGACTTTAGTTAACTTAATTTGCCAAAATACACGAAAATAATCATCGATTTCCGGAAAGGTCCGTTGATTAGCGCTCTGGTAGATACGGACAATACGGACATACGGACTTTTGGGACACCCTGTAAGCAGAGCTGAGAGGAATTTTTTCCCAAGCTCAAGCCGCTCTCTGATTGGTTCTTCAGTTTCAGGCAGTGTCATGGATCAATTTGAAGAGACCACGAAGTCTACTTATTCTATAGAAGTGGATCAGCGATTCGTTGATTGGTTGATTGGCATAATTTGATAATAAATTTGACTATTTACAAAGGATAGTGGATGTGGAGTCGGCGTTTTTGAGAATCGAACCAGAATTCTTCATTTTTGTTACTGGATCTGCCGCAAATGGCTAATCATTATGACATCCCTAATTGGTAAGGCCTTCAAGACCATTTATGCCGCATTTTTATGTCGAATTTTACATCCTTTTGCTGCAATATAAGGTTCCATTCGACACCCTTAGGTTATGTTTACGCCGAAACTGTAATCGCGAATGCATTCAATGGACCTCATGAGTAATGCGGTTGTATTCGCAATACATAGTGAAAATCACTATAATCCTCGAGCACCCGTGCACCAGTGATTCATCACAGTGCCCAACTGGGAACACCAGCTATTCTGCTCTTTTTCAGTAGTCTTTTCTCCAAGTCGATGCTGAAAGAATGAAAATTTTTACAACTGATTGTTTTGTCAACAGCGGAACTGTAGAAATGTGTATCTCGATCTATGTGTCTCAAAATAATCCTTCTATTTTATTGAAGGTGAATGTACCAACATTATCATTTAGAATTTTCATAGAACATCTGCTCGCTTCAAGAAACGACGCAAAGTACTTCTGCATTTGAAAATTAATTTATAACAGGAACTCTGGCATGGCTAGGACCGAGATATGCATTTCTGCAGTGACAGGGTCAATAAGCTGTAAAAGACAATTATAGCTAAATAATTGCACATAGTTATCACAGTTTCTCCCAAGTTTATGATTTAAATAGCAACAACCTCTCTAAGCAGCGACGAACAGCAGCGCAAACTGTTGCTGTTTAGAGCTGAGAACTACCCTGCTTTCAATTTCCTATGATGACTCGCCAACTGCAGAAATGTGGACTGTACCTGCACTTAGAGTGACAAAGTTTGCACCTGTTCGGCTGATAGGAACTGAAAGGCAAGTGAGACGGATAAGTGAGTGAGTCTGTCAGTCATTGGTCAATTTAACTCCCTTCTATTAATACAATTATTCTTCTTCTTTCTTTCAGGGCGGGTAAACCACCAGTAGGGTTACATTTGGATGTCTTGAAAGGCGACAAGTTGGTTCAGGTATGCCCTCTTCCATAACATGGAACCCTTCTCAATTTTTCCATTTATAATGAAAAAGACTTATCAATTCTAAGGATTTTTGAAGTCTATAGTGGGTCAAAGGCATAAAATGTCTGCAGAGTATCTTCAGTGACTCCCATGTTTTAATTTTTTCTAGTTCAAATTTCGTGCTAGGAAAACCACCGGTCCTTGCGGTAGGGGGATGGGGAGGAGAGGGGGTGTTAGTCGGGTATGCCTCAATCTCCTATAAGCTGGGTGCAGGTGACCTTCTCGATCCCCTTATCACTTGCCTGCATGTATCAATGACTGTAACTGACCGGTCGTTCCTAGCACATGCAAGAAGTAGTTGCCAGAACTCGGTTTTCTCTCCGACTTTCGTTCAAGCAAAAAAAGAAAAAAACCTAAAATTTCATGGGATACCAAGAAGTTCATCAAAAAGTTAATGAAAACACTTCTGAAGGTAGAAAAAGCTCTTTTAAAGAGCAACCTTTGGTCGCTAGTCTTGATGATGAAGTAGGCCATGTTTTCAGCTGTGCTTCAACCAATCCGCCACTTCGGACTATCTAGCCTGCCCACTTTGTATCAGATTGCCAAAAATATCTTTTCAAGTGTGTTCGGATTTTGACAATTTCACAATCGATTTTCTCTGTTATTTCGAGTAAAAAATATCCTGGGTAAAGTACTGGGAGTTCAACTCACTTTGTACCTCTAAAAATGGATTTGAAAGAAAATGGGTGCCACTGACCCATTGAAAATTGTATGGATATAACATAAAAAATATCCTGATATTTAAAAATATATAAAAATATCCTGATAAAAATATCCTGGGTAAAGTACTGGGAGTTCAACTCACACTGTACCTCTAAAAATGGATTTGAAAGAAAATGGGTGCCACTGACCCATTGAAAATTGTATGGATATAACACAAAAATGAATATAAGGACAAAATCTTGCTGTACACTGAACTGCTGAACAGCTAATATGCTCGAGAAATAGTCATTATTGTGATGGAGGCAAGCATGTAAGAAACTGAACCACACAGTGGTGTACCCTAGTATAGTAGATACCTAGAACTGGTTACAATGTTGACATTTTTAAAGCTCTTAAAAACGTGCTCCTTGTCTTTTTTCAGAAACTGATGCTGGATGAGAAGCGCTGCTATCTGTTTGGTCGCAACAAAGAAATGTGTGATTTTTGCATTGATCATCAAAGCTGTTCCAGGGTCCATGCCGCTTTTGTGTACCATAAACATTTAAACAAAGCCTTCCTGGTCGATTTAGGGAGCAGTGAGTTTTCTTCTCATTCTGCTTGAACTTTCAGTTTTTCATTATTCAAAAAAAGCCTGGTCATTTATGTTTAAAAGTACTGTCGAAAGTGACAATGATCCCAATCACCTTTTTCATCGATAAAATTGCATGGTCCTTGTCTTGCTGCGTATCTGTAGTGTCTTGAAGATGGCGTATAGTGCTCTCATGAACAATCAGTCAGTTCAATTTGGTTTTATGTAGAAGGGAACATGAGTAGAGAAATAAATTGGTAAAGAATAGGAAAAATTTGACACATGAAACTTTTGCTGGAGCCAAAAATTTGAATGTTCCATAATTGTTCAAAAGTCGCGACAAGATCATCAGTTAGCTAGTTAGAACATCAGCTAAGTTTAAGGGAAATTCTCTTTTAAATAGCTTTAATATTTTAATTGATGGAATTTTATTAAAATACATTTTTTAATTTTACTTGGCTGGCACATATTCAGTTGTTCACATAGAAATACATTGAATAATATCTCTTTAAAGTCTGTATAGTTTTCAAAGAAAATGTTACATTACTTCACACTAAAAATGCATCTAAAATACAATCAATTGTGTGCAGTAGGGGGGCTCAAGTAAGCAAAATATGCAACTTTTTTGTTCCATGGCTCTTGTGACAACAGACATGCACAAAGTGAATATAAACTAACCATGGCAAGGTAGTCTGCATTGTTAGAGGCTAGCAACACCCTACCATTGGAATGATGCAAAGTCAAGTTAACATGATGAGAGTTTCAAACATGATTCATTTTTTAATTCAATTAAGATTATGATCAATAGAATTGATAGTGTTAATGTGTACGATGCAATTGACTGCTCACCTACATTTATTCTCTATTTTTTCCAGCCCATGGTACATTCATAGGAAATATGCGAATTGAATCCCATAAGCCCACACAATTACCAATCGATAGTTCTTTTCACTTTGGTGCCTCAACGCGGAATTATATTATCAGAGAGAGGCCTCAAACGGGTGCACGACCAATCATTGAGGAGTTAGAGAAACAGTCTGAAGAAGCGGAAGGAGGGTTACTTGGGTTGCCTGAAACTGAGACCGAACTTGATGTAATGTATTCTTTATTTCTCTTCTTTGGAAAATTTTTCTCTTATATTTTCTTGTTCACTTCAAATTAAACAACGATCAGAATAGTGTGATTTCAAAAAAACCCCTTGCTTTTCCTGACTGGACCACTATTCAGAGCGAGACTAAAGTTTCTCACGCCTAGAACACAATGGACACTTTTAAAAGTTCCAAAGTTAACTCATAAGTAAGAAAAAAGCTGATAGTGCATTCAGCAAATTCAACATGCTGAAAAACCAAAATCTCCTTGAGTCAAGGAGGAAGGAACGTTTTTGTGAAATCAAACTTCAGCTTTTATGGAACATCTCAGTATATCTTTAAAGATCGATTTGATGTCTCTGATCTTGGTTTTTTCAAAAGTGGCAAATTTCCTTATTCTAGCGTGATTCATCTTCATTTGAAAGTTTATTTTGGCATTATCAGCTTGTTCAGCATGCTTTACTTGAAAGTTTGATGAGGGAACATATCTTGTGGTACTTAAAGTATTATACCCTGTATGGGCTAAGCCATGTGAGGTGCTCATCGTGTGGTGGCCCTGTGGAGGGCCGTTGGAAAGGGCAAGCCGGCCGGCTGCACGGTGTCTGCTGGGTGCTGTGCAACGTGAGTCCCGTGTGACTGACGGGCGCGGAGTGTGCAGGAGAGGTGAGCTCGCGGCTTATGTAGCCGTGACAGTGTCGAGCTTCAGCCAATGAGCTGCCCTGGTTGGCGGAGCGGTGGCTAGCCGCCACACCCTGCCTAGTAGTCAATTAGTAGTCAATCTCAGAAATTCCACAGAGATTTAAATTTATCTCAATTAGACTCAAAATATAATAATTTAATCTTTGTTTTGAGTAAACTTCACTCAAAAACTGAATTGCACCCTTCTAGTTTTCTCTCTCTCTTTTTTTCTTTCTTGTCTTGTCACTTTGAATAATGGGTCTAATCACTTGTTGTGTCATGAAATCAGGCACTTTTTAAAGTAGTAAACAGGAAAATTAGCAATATCAAACCACATAGATCAGTCATTGTGCACCTTTTTGAGATCCTTTGTCTTGCCTGAATTTCATCTCACGGAGCCTGTATGACATAGCATTGGCTCCTCCTCTAAGATGTGCATTCCATTCAAGGTCGATAGACCCAAGTCAGTCTGTTAGGGAAGTTGTGTGTGATAATCCCAGGAAAATGGCTGCTGTCCTTGTTGCCAAAAGATTCCCCTGATTGGCTTGTCCCACTCTGCTGTTCCCCTGATTTGATTACATTGCTTTATGCAGATCAGAGAGATAGGGAAGGAACTATGCAATGGAGCAGCACAAATTGGGAAAACGTTTGGAAAGTAGTGGAACAGCAAATTGAGGAAATCTATCGCCAGATCGGGAAATTTCAAAGAACATCTTGTTAACGGACTGACCTCGGTCTATTGACCTTGCATTCCATTTAAAATTTTAAATTTCCTGCTGCTTTTGTGAGGTATGGTTTCAAAACTTATTGGTGGGAATGACTGACTTCATGAAATTGTCTTGGAAAGCCGTGAGGCAAAAATGCAAGATCACAAAAAACAGTCTGCGTTCAGGAACCTATTGCATTTCTACGTAGAGTTTTACTTTTTCAAGTATATTTGGACGTATTTCTATCAAACAGAACTGTGAGCAGGTGAGAAATATGGAGCGTGCTCTAGAAATCTGCATAAGGAACAATGTAAAAGAGGGCGTGATTCCTTTGGAAGAATTGGAAAAGCGGGATATTACATTCTATCAAACAGAACTATGTGCCAACTAAATGCGGGATTCATGAGCAGCGAGGATGGGACAAGAGCGTTGTGACAGGGCTCATGAGTTAAAGCTCTCCGACAACGATCTCCCCCTCGCGCCTGGGCTTCATCATTGCCGCTGACATCACTGGTGCTTTATTATTCTCATTTGCTCTTACGGCCAGAGAACTAGCGAGCACACCCCATATTTCTCACCTGCACATAGGTCTGTTTGATAGAAATATGTCCATTTTAGTGACAAGTAACAAGGAAGAAAATGAAGTAGAAGTTCCAATTTTCAGTTGTTTGACAAAACCTAATGCATTTTCAAATGTAATTTTATTTGCAGAATTTAACAGAATTCAACACTGCTCATAATCGAAGGATATCCATGTTAGGAATACAAGAAGACAAAGAACAACGTAGGCCAATTATGAAGAATAAAAAACGCCTGGTGACCTTCAATGAAGATGAAGAGGTTATTAATCCAGAAGATGTAGATCCGTCTGTTGGAAGATTCAGAAACCTTGTACATACAACAGTTGTTCCTTCAAAGGTAATATGATGTACGAAAATATTATTGGGAGCTGTAAACCTCCAGTCAAAGATACACCTCCAGTTTTTTGGGTGGAGAAGCTCAGCCGCACCTCCTAAAACATCTGTCCGCGACGAGGCTACCCAGCCTCTCTCTTGTGCACTGCAGAGTTGCAACTTTATTAAGACCTCCCATACAACAAAAATCTTACCCATAAGGTTTCATCTTGAACCAAAGCTCTTTAGATGACCTAGCAAATATTGGAACCACATAAAAATTATCAATCCTAGTCCTTGGCGCATTATGATCCGTGGTTGGTGCATTTATGGAAGAAAGATCCATCACCAGTTTTCAAATCATGGCTCACAAGCTGTGTAGCCGGCTCTGTGACTGGCCTCTCAAAGCCCCCAGTCTCCTCTGCGTCCCCTCATGGGGCAAGAGCAACACCAAATTCAAGACACCAATTATAAAACTGATATCATTAATCAGTGAATGATAATTTAATTCGGGAGGAAACTTAGTTTGTGACATAACAAAAGGTCTGCCTGTCAGGTAGAGATCAACAGGATTCCCTGTAAAAGCACTAATTTAAATTTACCATTATCTCTACTACTGTTACTGCTATTTCCTCTAAATTTTTAAAATTTTCTCACTTCAATGTCATCTATTTTAATTTTGAAATGAGATTCAGAACAACGCAGTGGCGAGCCCAGTTTGCGGTTAGCAAGTTATGGCCAGAATAATATGCCATTCTGTCGTGTGGAGAAATGCCCTCTTTTTCTGGTTGGCCTTTTTTGATAGCATGGTATTCATGGTATAATCATAGGGGTCCAATCCTAAACATCTAACATGTGAGAGAAAAGCTTATTATTTTGACTCTATCCAGTCAGAAGTATTTGATTAAAAAAGTATTGACTGTAATAGTGCACATGAAGTAACCTATTTATTACCTCTTCAGTTGTTGACGTGTAGCTTTTTTACTGTTGTAAGTCATTTCAGATTTTCTTTATTATTACAGCGGCAACGTCTGGACATTGCCGGATTAACAACATCCCTGAATGCTCATGCCCACGAAGAAGTAAGACAGACATACATGAAGCACATGCACCCTTCTTCAATGATGAATCAACTTTATTATGATGTTCCAGGTATGAACGCATTTTGTTCACTTGTATACTCCCTCCTTTTTTGTTAAAATGCATTTCCCTCCTAAAGACTATAGCTTTTTGGCAATACTATGTTTTTTTAATGAGTGTTTAGTCCACAGTAGAGTCTTGAAGTGGAATCACAAGTTGGACAAGCTTGTGACCAACTCTAGTAGAGTTGAAGGTAGTTCCAATTTTAAAATTAGTCATATTTTTAAGAAGAAACAAATGTCAAAATGCTTAAATTTTTACCTTGTCCAGTTGTTCATTATTTCTGTTGGGCTCGAAAAATTTGTAAAAACACTATTAAATTCTAAAGGTTTGAACCACGATTTCTGTGTATTGCCATGACACCAGTGCTTTTTATTGATAAGTGCGTAACTTGGTCGTCTACCATTAACTTCCTTGGAGGACCTACAGACAGCACCTCTAGCGCAATGCAATAAACATGTGCCGTTAAAAACTCCTGTTATTTTGATTGTTCAGGTCGGGATCAAGGAAAAAATGGTCATTATGACTGTTTTGGCAGTAAATATCTTGCACATTACTAATTTTTTGGTAATTGCTTTGACTACTGTCGGTTAGTGTGTACAGTTATGTGAAATAAGAGTCAAAATTCAACAGAAATCCTACATCTTTTTGAGCCAGGGTTTTTTTTAATGACTATACATTGAAAATCAGGATAGATACAGCTAGGAATAGAGTTGGTAAGTTTATCGTTTTTCAAGTATTAACCACCCGTTTGTGCCAATTCAGATCATTAAGTAACAAATTCAATAATTGTTTCAGGCCCTGAGAAACAGACTGATTCTACCGGTGTAAGTTCTTTGTCACTATTCTCAACATCAACCGCCTCCAAGCTAGGTTTAAGTATTCCAAATCCTGCTCCTGAAGTAGATATAGCTCCACCAGTTGTACCTGTCACCCCTGCAACTGTCGAGCCCGCAACCGCCAGTGCAGACAATTCATTAGAACCCAAGAAGAAGAAATATGCCAAAGAAGCGTGGCCTGGAAAGAAGTCATCTGTACCTGCATTACTGGTTTGATCAGTTGCTCCTAAACTTCTGTTTTCATACAATCAATATTTCTTTGGACATGAAAATTCAGAGATTCATCCCGAAGGTTGTCCTACATATTTGAGAACTGTGTGTAAGATGTTCTATTAGGGGTGCCAGGAAAATGAAGGTGATTTATTTATTGCATGTTTTAAGTTCCTCTAGTCTGAGTTAAACCTGATGATGAGGTGACCTCCTTTTCGAGACTTTTTTTATTGCACTGTTTCTGCACTCAAATAACTTTTCAGGGTTACCGGGTTACCCTTCCTCTACTAGCATTGAAACACTTGAGCACAACTTGTAAAGTGATTCTGCCATCCTCAAGCCTAAAATAAAATGGCATTAAAATGAGGTGTAGTGACCTCTGGCAGTAAAAGTGAACTTAGAATCTCTGATAGTCAAGTAACGTCCCTAAAGACTGCAGCCTGTCATATTACCACTTATAAGTATGAAGTTTTTTACCCACCAAAAGTCGACAAACACATTTGCACCACATGAAGTGACTCTGTTGACTGGAATCAGACACTCAAAAGTTCAGTGGGGGTTTTGAGATTTTGCGGAGAGATGCGGGATTAGATTATACAGAATGTAGAATATTAGATGTTAGCTTCACACCATGTTTGTCCCAACATAGTTAGAAACTTCCCTCATGCTGCTCTCGCATGTCTTAAATGAAAGTTTTTGTTTTTCATATATTTAACAACCAACTGAACCTCAGAACTCGACTAGCTGAAATTTACATGGCCAACGCAATTAGGCAGAGGTCAGGGCTCATAATTTTGGGCTTCCTTTGCGATACACGAAAACAGCATTAGCTTTGTGAATGCTATTTATGATATAGAAATGCTCATTAATTTATTTTGCCATCACTCTCTCTTTTTCTGTAAAAGGTATTAGTACTTTGTGGCTGAATAACCGTTCCATGAAACTAAATTACTGAAACAATAATTGCAAGGGACTTTAAATCAAAAGTTACCATCTTAACATTCAGTATGCTTAAGAGTCTCAGTAAATCAGTTCCTTTTGTATTCATACTGTCAGTAGCATTACGGCTTTGGTCTTTCTTCATAGTCTTTAATTGAAGAAAAGGAACGAACTGCTGGTGTTTCTATCTGTAAACACGACAGAATAAACATGAAAAAGTGGGTAAAAGGCTAAAATATTGGAAACCCTTAAAAAATAGGAGGTTTTTAGCTGTCATATAGTCATTTTCAGCTGCAGAAACAATTAAAATCAATTAAAAAAGTTAAATGACCACCTGATCCTATTTGTCATGATGTAACCACTAAGAGTTTGTGTCATAATAACTGAAATTAGGTCCTCGAGTTTTTTATTAATATTGATTATTTTTGCAGCTGAAAATGAGCCTATAGCGGCTCAAAACCCCCTGCCTTCTTAGTGTTTTCAATATTTTAAGCCTTTTGTCACCCATTTTTCCATTTTTATTATTTTATCGTGCTTAAATTTTTGTGCTATGTAATTTGTGCATTATCCTACCTGAAAACTACATTTTTATCCAACTCTGAAACTAAGGCTAACTTTGTCTCATTCAGTTACAAGAGCACTGTATTGTGAGTATTAAATTTACAGAAATATCATCAAGCAGTATTCTGTGAATATTAGGCACTTAAAAATATTGGTATGGTGTTTCTGAAGCAATTTGCGATAGTATTTTTGCTGCCTCCTTGCCCTACATTAAGGTATTGTTATAAAGAATGAATTTTTTATTGATATGATCATGCACATGTGTAACTTATTCTTAATGAGAATATTGAAAAATAAAACAAGTATCAAACATTCAACCAAACGCTTGACTGAGTGATTTACACTTTTATTAGTCTAAAATACAATATACCTCAACAACTGAAATCACTCTCGACCTATAATATGATGGCATCATATCTAAATACATACTTACCTGAGGATGAGCAAAAATATTTCATGTGAGAATGAGAAATCTTGCATGCGCCAGGGATTTGATATTTGAGAACATTTTCTTTCGTAAAATTTTGCGAGAAACATGATAGGTCCACAAGTTTTCCCTGAAACAAACTCCAACGCTCAAAAAAGGTCTCAAAGTTAAAATCGTGATGAAGGGGACGGCCTATCAGTGGCGAGGCATGAATGATCGATTATCGATATTGCCCCATTTGAAGCTATAGTAAAGAATCGATTATCAAGGTGTTCGTTGCGAACACCCTGTTAATTGATTCTTTAACATGGGTTTAAATGACAGATCAATCGATATATTGCAAAGCACGCCACCCCACGCTACTACGGTCTATGTTATGGCTAGAGTCCAGCCCTATATCCAGTCGTACTCTCCATATGCAGATACGGAGCAATTATACATTAGCAGGGTTGCCATGGCTGCAGCCTTAAAATTTGCCTACAAATTGGCAACCCCACTAATTTATTTGCTCCCTTTGTAGGCCTGAAGAATTTGATTGTAGATAAAGGTGGACTCTCAGCACACGGCTCCTTCCATTATGGTCCCAAGATTGAGACCTGTTTTTGAGCTTTGAGATTTGTTTGAGAGAAAACCAATGGCACCATCATTTTTCTCGCAAAACTTGACATTAGCTGAAGAACTTAAATTGCTAATACCTGCGGCATGCAAGAGCTCCATTTGAAACTGAAATCCTTACAAGAAAATACATTGTTTGATTCACCAAGCTCTTAGCTGTTCTCTTCTCTTGTAAAAATTGCGCCTTCTCATTGATGGAGTCAACACTTTGAATACATGTTTTAGTGACTGTCCATAATTGAAACTGTTCAGTAAGAAAATAACCCAGCAACACTATGTCCGGAGATGTTGTTTATTTTTCGATTTCTCTCGGATTACTGCTAAAATATTTTACAATTACTCAATTAAGTATTTTCAAATTTTTTAGAAAGACAGTCTTCGCAAGAAGTTTGAGGTCCTCTTTTGGCAGAAAAATATTTTTTAATACCGTGTGGCACTTGAAAAATCGTTCAAAATTTTTGGTCTGGGGGAAAAGGAAAAATGACAAAAGTAGGAGTGATAGTAAAATTGCAATTTTAATTGATCAGACTCTGAAATGTTATATGTTTTTTGGGAAACCATTTTTTCAAAAAGAATTTAGAGATATCACACCTCAATAAGTGTGCAATTTTGAAAGTTTCGTCTTTACAGAAGGAACATCTTGAAATCTCAGGAGAGGTGCATTACACACTGAGAAATAACATGCTACAAATGAATTAACATACAGTAGGAAGATAGATAGAAGTGATCTGTATTACATTTTGCTTTTTCTACATCTGTTTATTTTGCGAGAGCAAGAGTTTGCTATTTTTCAATATTCAATGTATTTCCCTTCATTAAAACTTTAAGGGATGGTATAGTGTCTCATAAGAATTTTTGAGGAATCAGTTGGGGGATAGCAACCATTTAAGTAAAAACAGGAAAAGGATTGTACCTTTTTGCGGAATACTGGGTGTGGTATTTTTTACTAGCTATTCTATAGAATGATTTTTACAACTGTGATGTAGAAAGTGTAGAAAATGAAGAAAAGCTCTTTATCCCTTTGAGCTGATAAGGACGGTTGAATAGGGCTGTAATAACTAAAATTATGTACATGATTTGCTCTGTGCCTTGAGTCTAATTAAATCTAGGAGGGTTGAGATTCTGGTTGCTGTTGCTAACCAATTTGTTTGCGATGAAAACTCATCTCAGTCGACGCCACAAAGAGGCATGGATATGAGGTAACGATTCATGAAACGAGATCATGTACTATCCTCCTCACATTCTTCATCCGTTGTCGTTAAGTCGTGTTGCACTTTATTTACTGCAGCTGTATCTGGTGCAGGTTCGAACACATCATCAACCAATGACATATCTTCTAAATTTACATCTGTTACGGGTTGAAGAGTGTCTTTTGTGGAAAGCTTCTCCGCCACTGGGCCTGCATCCTCCTCTAAATCACTGATTTCTGACTCAGATTTTAGGCCGTCGTTGTCTTTACGTTCGTGTGTGCTACAATCTTTGCTCTCGCTTACCTCGCTCACTTCAGTCGCCCTTTTGTCCCCTTCATTTTCTCCAATATCAGTGACTTCCTCTATTGACTTGATATCAACGTCTTCATGAACATCTGCAACCTGGCTAGGTACTCTTGCTCTTGCCTCTATTTCCTCACCTTGAATTGCTGCTTCGCCAAGAGACTCTTCTGCAATTTCATCAGCAGGGGTTACTAATTCATTTTCTGCAATTGTTACCTCCTCTCTCTGTTCTTCAGTTTCTTCTGACCTATTTTGTCTTATATTCTCCGCGTTTTCCTCTGCTTCCTTCTCTCTTTGTGTGTCCACCTCTACGTCCTTTTGTAAGTCTTCCTCATTTTGTTCTTGTTCAGTTCCTTTCTCATTTCCTGTTATGAGCTCATCTATATTTTCCTCTAGGTTGCCTTTATTTTCATCATCATTGCTGTTGTAAGGTACGTCTGTTATCTCCTCAATTTCTTTCTCATCCTTTGCAATTTCTTTCGGTTCAACTGGTTCTTCTTGCACTGGGTCATCGTGATAGTTTAAGAATTCTGCTTCTTTGTCAACCTGTTCCTTATCTTCTTCGACCGGTCCTTGCTCAGTGGGTTGTTGATCATAAGTCTGCAATTGCTCTGGTTCTTGAAGCTCATCTAGGTTTTCCTTCAATTGCTCTGGTTCTTGTAGCTCATCTAGGTGTTCCTTCAATTGCTCTGGTTCTTGTGGCTCATCTAAGTTTTCCTTCAGTTGCTCTGGTTCTTGCTCTGTGATGTTTTGATTTGATTCCTCAGTTGTTTCCTCTTCGTTGATTAGTTGAGGGCTTGATTCTGTTACAGTTAGGTTTTTCTCTGCATTAAGCGATAGTTCCTCGTTCAAAGCTGCTGATTCCTCGTTCTGCTGATCTTCGTTGCTTTCCTCATTCTTTTTTGATTTTTTCTTACGTTGGTGAGTCAGCCAAGTGTCGATTTCCTCTTCTTTTTGAAATACAGCTCCATCGTCAAACGTCTGTTTTGTCTCCAGTGTTTTAGGAATCAATAACTTTTCCTGTCAAGAAACAAAAAAGAATATGAAGAGTGAGTAAAAATCAGTGACCTGCTGACCCTGTTGAAGCTGACATAGGAACTCTAGACATTTGCACAGTAAGAAATCAGAGGAATGTGTTGTAATTAAAAAAAACCCCCGTTGGAAAAAGCCAAGAAAATTTTCCCCAACAGCATTTTAAAAAGAAAGAAAAAAAAGCACATTATGTACTAATGCAGAAAAATTAAGGTCCAAATCTGTAAAAGCAGTTGAATTGTACGATCTGGGAAACTTTTTTTTCCTCTTCTTTAAGATGTCATCTTACTTTTCTATGGGTCTTCAGGGTGTCTATACAAGTCCGGAATTTCTGGAAAGTCCGGAAATAGCACTGATTTTTCCAGGGCGGTTTGGAAGTACTGAAAAAGTGCGGAAATTTTGCAAGAAAGTCCGGAATTTTTTTCATTTTTGTCGAAATTAGAACGGGAAATTCAAATTTTTTGAATTTCGTCAGTTGAAGGTATTGAAAAAGTACTGAATTTTTCTGTTGAGGAGGTACTGAATTTCTTGGGAATGTGCTGAAAAAGCACTGTAGAAGTACTGATTTTTGGCCAGCCTGTTTTAGTAGACCCCCCGAGTCTTTCATTGCTCTATATTTGTTCTAAAAATTTCACACACATTTGGCATTTTTCGTGTTTGATACCTTGCATGGGTACATATCTTGCATTTTATTTTGAGCTTTCCATCAATATTCAATATGAGCTATTTTTTAACTTAAGCAATATTGTCGCCAACTTTTATTCTTCTACTTTTTCTTTTCATAGCTAAATTGTGTAATCATGAGAAATCTGGATAAGAGTATGTTGAATCCTACATTTTTAGTCTTTCGAAATGATTGCAGGTAGGGTTACTTTTCAAATTTTTGCAGGGGAAAATCTTGTCTGACTCTTTCTTCAGGTTCAGAAAAGCAGTGTTTGACTCTATTAGAAGGCATTTGAGCTGCAGATAATGAATTGTCAAGAGAGGTCTGAATTAGCGTTTCAATGGAAAAACAATGCTAAAGTTGGGCATTACGTACTTAACGATAAAGTTAAAATTATACATTTTTTTGAAGAGCAGTAAAGCTATGAATCAAATTATGCCTAGTTTCAAAGATTTTTAGGAAGTGAATGAGATGACAGCAAATTCAATACTTCTGCGGACTTCTAAATGATAGAAGAATTCATACTCTTTTGACTGAAAGTAAGTGCACTAATCAGAGATGTATTACAGAACGAGGCTGATCGGGCCAAGACAAATACATGTAATAATCAGACACTCAACAGAAAAGCGTGATGAAGAAAATAGCATAGGTACAGGTTGTTTCAAGAGAACTGGAACTATTGCTGTAAATTCCAAGCTATAAGGCAACTAAACAGGTTAGGTTTAGTTCATTTTCAATCAATCGACATCAAATTTACCTTCTTTGGTGAGAAATTCGCAACCTTTGCATTGTTGCTTTCATTATTTTGGGACTGGAATAAACTTGGTCTCAATCGATAGAAATTGAGCTCTTCTTTCTAATGCAACCCAAAATAACTCTTCAGATGTCTCAATATTAAAATTGCAACACCAGTCTCAATTATCTTGGGACAGTCTTCATAAAAGTTCCTTATAATAACAGTGCAGAAACTAAACTAAACTAAAGTTTTTCTTGTGTCTTTTCTAAAGATTGAAATATAGTCCGGGAGGTCGCTATCAATTTTGTGTCCCACTTCAAGATGAACGCATTTTTCAAAATCGAAAGAACTTCTCTTTCTGATCTCTTTTAAATATCTTGGCGCTTGATTTCAGGATCTCACTTGATTCATGAGGCTTCCTAAAACGCATAGGGATAGCGGATTCTTAGTGCAAGGACTGAGCCCGGCCTAGTAGGGGCCGAGACACCCCTCCCCCCCCACGCCCCAACAATTGAATTGTTAGAGTCAGTTTTACAACCTTCGATAAGGTGAAAAGTTCTTGAAAAGTCATGGAAAACCTGAAAGAAGCACCGAATCTCGCCCAACTTAAAAAAATTCAGGGAATTTTACTGTATGCAGATCCTTAATTGAAATCCTTTCCTTCTCAACCGGATATATTTAATTATTTTCTAATGGACCCATGCGCTCTATTCAAGAAAATTAGGACTTGCATATTAGACAATCATGTAAGCTCGTATATTTACCATCAAGGGCAGCCTCTGCCTTTAAAGTCTCAAACAATTTTTTTTATTTTTTTAAGACTTAGTGCCAAACAACTCTTGGAGAAGCATTTTCAAAAAAAAAAAAAAAAATTAATGCCAGTAAACCATAAGAAAGTCGAGGAAAAATCAAGGATGGATCATCATCATCATCCTATGTCCGAAAACGCCGAAAGAGTCACGGAAAAATTGATGAATTTTGAAATCTAGGGAACTTTGTCACCTAGTTGAAATAGAGTTTCATTCCTCACCCGGAAACGACAACTAATAATGAAAATTAATGAACTCTGAACTGTTATGGTCATTGGTCAATCTTGAAGCTGAAGATAAAATCCCCTTCACTGTGATCAGTTTACTTTGTTTAGACACCAGACTTACCATAATTGAATGGTTTTGTTTCTCGATGATTTTAATTCATGGTTCCTATTTGAGGTACGACACAAGGAGGAGCCCAAATAGGAGCTTTACTAAGTAATCGAGTGATGATCAATAGAACCTCACAAGTTTTACTCCGTATGTACATTCAGGAATAGGAAGGACAGCAACATGCGCGTCTGTAGGGATGAAGGTCTGTTGAAACCGATGCGTTAGTTAGAACAATAAGCAGTACTTAACGACATATACATCGAGGGACTTGGCGGACATGACGCGTAAGTGCAGTTTTTGCTGTTTCGAGAAATACGTGTTTGAAGTTCCGAAATTACATGGATTCTTATGGTGGAAAGGAAAGTTCAAACTGACTGTTCGATGCTTTAAAATTGGAATTTGGAAGCAAATTTTTCACCAAATATGCATTAAGATTAGCTTTACTTGAAATCATTAATATCTCAATTTTTTCAAAAACTGAACGTATGTGCCCTGTCTTCCAAGCCCTGGTAAAAATTGGCAGTTCCAAAATACCATAGACCTAAAGCTGGCTGTAAGATTTTCAATAGCTTCTATAGCCGGCTGCACAATTTCTTATAGCCTTTTATAGCCGATGGCGATTGAGCAACAGCCAGGCGATAAAGTGTATGCTACATGTTACTAATTACGGATGCTAGGACTCAGTGAGTTTTTGGACTACCGCTCTATTTTTGGGCCGTATAGTATCTTGATTTATTTTGCGCGGAAAGCTCCGTACTTTTGAAGGATGCCTGCCATTCCTAATATGTTGGAGCGCCTTCAATTTCGTATGATACTGTGCAATACCTCTCGTGTGAAATAGTTGCTTCAAGCGCCGTGGCACGCTGCGGCGCGGCGGGCGGGCAGCCAGCGCGAAAAGAGCCTTAGCGCCTACAAACCTAACAGGGATACTTCACGCATTGCACCATGCGTGAAGTATCCCAGTTAGGTTTGTAGGCGCTGGTGCGCGCTTACCGCTGGCAGCACGCCGGCCGCTCCGCTCTAAGTTATGCTCCAATATAACCTTGCGGAGTCAGCGTTTTTCAACTCATGATTTTGAAATGTTTGCACATCCTGTATGGAATATTCTCACTTTAATTGATGAAAAAAAAATATGTATTAAAGGAAAATATAATGTGTGTTTTGTGAATATTATGTTGGCTCCGTATCAAACTTAATGATTTCCAAAGCACACGAATTTCTACACAATTTCTTATAGCCTTTTATAGCCGATGGCGATAAAGTGTAAAGCCCAGCGATAGGAACTATAGCCCAGCTGCATACTTTTTTTATCGGTTCGTATAGCCCGGCTGTATGATTTGCTCAGCTTTCTACAGCCAGCTATATGATTTTCTTTTGCCTTCTTTAGCCGGCTAAGAATTCCTATGGTATTTTGACACAGCTCCTATCGCCAATTTTTACCAGGGAGGCCCTCCATTCAAAGGGAAAATGGAAAAAGGAGGGGATGAAAAAACACGTGTTAGTTGAAAGCATGCATGAATGGTGAAAGGAGCTGTTCGTGAGCGGATCGAAAGAGTGCGTGACAGACTTGAGCTGCTTTCAGTAACAAATAGTGGTTGATAATGAATTGGACATTGTTATTTTAGTGTTACAACTATGTTTGGATCGGTAAGACGTTTCATCTAGACAGATTTATACCACAAGGCAATCATAGAACATAACATTACCTCAGATGTGAGTGGAGTCTGAAATGATACATGCGAGTGAGGCGGGTTGACAGGTTTTATGATTAAATCCTCTCGTACTTTTTCTGTCAAAAAATTCAAATACCGGTGATTTTGAGTACTTTTTAGACAGGCAAAAATCAAAATATAGTCTAATAAGTACAAAATGCTCGATGATAGGAAGGTGTAAAAAATATGATCAATGGTTGGGAGTTATTTCTGTGAAATTTAACGGAGGAGTGAGAAAGGGACGTGGTAGAAAAAATTTGGAGGTGTTCTCTGAGAATTTTGATGTATGCACAGCATAGTTATTTACATGAGGCATGTATTTACACAAGTTGATGGAGTGCTCCTGGAAATAGGCAAAGAATTATAACGGGTAAACAAAAGAGCTGAAAATAGGGATTGCACGAGCATGGCAAAAAGACAATTTTGGCAATCTTCAAACCCTCAAGTTTTTGGCTTGAATTTTCTGTTTTACAGTCTTACCTGGAAGCTTTATATGTACAGGGTGGCTTCAAAGCTCAATACATTCATTAATAAGTCTTGAATGCATGCACATATCCTCGCATGTAAGTAGGTCGGACAGCAGCAAGCTGGACTGTGCTGACGGGCGTGCTTCGGATTCGTAAATTGGAGCGTTTTTCACGATGCTGTACATCGTCCGTACTTTTTAAGAAAACTTAGCATACTTATTTAAAACAATTTTCTTTCAAATTACGTCAACTATTTATTTAGAGCATTAACTAAAGTCTCCTTATTATTGTAAAAAAAAACGCGAGAAGACCTGTTTCCCAAGTAGCAGTGATCGCGATAAGTTGCGATTTGATCGGAGAATGTATCTCGATTTTATCGACGTTGATTTATCAAAATATTATCGGATAAAAAATCACGATTTCTTCGCAAAAAATTTGCAATAAAATCGCAATTTTATCGACGGCTAGGTACTTATTGTAACGTTATCGAGGATAAATCGTGGTAAATTGAAATAAACTTTCGATTTCATAGGGATAAAAATAAGATTGCGACGAGATCAAGGAAAATCGCTCAGATGTTGACGATCCTAGCGATTTCATCGCCAAAAATCGCAACCTAATTTCAAAATATCGCGATTTATCCGTTAAAAAATACTACTTAGGCTTTTTTGCTTCCCCAAAATATCAGAAAATGCGCACGAGATAAGTAGGCGCAAGGAAACTTTAGAATCGGATACAGTCGACCTCAAAAATATATATGAAGTCAAGAAAAAGCTTTGTACTCGAAATTTCATCTAGCTTTACCAGGCTTCTAGGCTAGCATTGTTACCTTAACGAACGTCCGCATGCATTTAAAGTTTGCCTTCAATTTCCCTGCATAGGCAACAAACATAACGGAATAGAACTTACATTTTTATTACCTTCGTGTTATGCATGCATGCCCCCGAATTAAGTAGGTACCTAATACGTGGAGCTCGAAAACCTCTCTCACGCTCTCACTTAAAACCATTCCATTACTTATAAAAAAAAAATAAAATAAAAAAAAGAGCCGGATCGTTTGTCTTGAAATCGCTCCAGCAGACCGTATAGGAGAACGGAACAGAGCTATTTTAACGTTACTTTTTTCCGACTTCTTTGACTTTACTAGACTAACGGCCTCAGTAGGTTCACTTATCCATGCCGACAGTCCTAGCTGAAAAAGATTGGAGGACACGTATAATGAGATTTTTGCACACTGATAACTCACCTTCGTCGTCAAGTTTTATTTTTGGATGTTGTTTTGCAGCTTCGTTCCTAGTTTTACTGTAGTAAGACAAGTATTGAACGTCGTTGCGAACGTTTCGATGGTTATTTTCGTCGAAAATCATCAGCCTCCTCCGCGGGTACACTCTCCCTGCTGCGAAACTCACACATGCTAATCTGCCGCGTCCTGCAACAAGATTAATACATATGTGTTCTAGGCTTAACCAATCCGAGATGCACTGGAAAAAAGAACACATTGGATCTAGAGTCCAAACTCTTGAAAACATTGACAAGAAAATATACTCTTGATTCAATCAGATTTAAGCGTAAATCAAAAGGAAATCCGCTCAAATTAAGAGGCTTGGTTCTTGATTTAAGCTTAAATCTGATTGAATCAAGAGTATTTTTTCTTGTCGATGTTTTTAAGAGTCTGGACTCTAGATCCAATGTGTGTTTTTTCCAGTGTGGGGACTTTTGTAGTAGGCAGTAAAAGAATTGGTATGGCAATACTTTCCCTGCATACGCATTTTTACTCTCTCGCTCCCCTAGGGTAGAGAGGAAGTATTGTCATCCTCCAAGAAAAAAAAAGAAGAAAAAAGTTGAAATTTCATCATTTCTAGACGTTTTAAGGTCCCAGGAGTCAAAATAACCATACTTGAAAAAATATGTGTTCGTCCGTCCGACGTCCTCCAAATCTGTGTACAGCGATATCTCATGCAGAATCTATCTGTTCGATTTCATTCAAAATTGGCACAGAACACCATATCTATGGTCTCCTTATTTTTATTCGAATGCTACAACTGACAACTCCCGTTCATCTCTGAAGCCGTGAGAGAAGTGGGAGGGCCTTCAATTTTTCAACATGCAACACGCACATCATTGGAACACGAATAGTTGCATCAAGGCGCCACACTCAACTCAGTGTAGTATTTGTAGAACGGAAGCGCCTTCAATTTTTCAATATGCAACACGCACACTCAAGATACTAAAAGTACAATCAAATTTTACAAAAACTCCCGAGAGAAATTAAAAATTAATAGATGTAAATTTTAATCACATAACCCGTTGTTTATTATAAACACTGAAGTATTAGTTTCAATAATTTCATTGTAAGGTAAACATCTCGTGAAATATTGGCGGAAATTGGCCAGTGGAGGACATTCAGCGTACAGATTATGCGTTTAAAATTAATGACTGGCCGTTGGCGTAATTTTCAGATTTGTGACCGGCTAGTCCGGACAATTTTGGCAACGGGGCTCAACATAAAAAGCGTATCCGCAGTCAAAACATATAACTCGTGATCTCCTTCCGTTTTGGCGTATTGATGAATATTCAAATTTAAAAACAACCCTCACCAATCGAGTTCCTCTGTTGAGTGGTTCCAGGATAATGAGACATTGGAACAACATCCCTTAAAACTCTTTCATTCGGGCTGAGGAGCATGACGTTTATGTAGGCATCTGAGTTTATCCTTTCCGGGATGGGAGTTTCAATGTACCTGAAAAGATCAACATATATATTAGGTAGGTAGGTATTCATCCAAACTATATACAGTTGATCTCCATATAGTAGCCAAAATTCCAAGAATACCCAACAAGATGCGAAAAAAGGGAGTCTACAAGTCCGGAATTTCCGCAAAGTCCGGAAATAGTACTGATTTTTTAAGGGCGGTCCGGAAGTAATGAACAAGTGCGAAAATTCCGCAGAAAGGTCTGCAATTTTTTTGTCATTTTTGTCGCAATTTCAAATTTGTGAAATATTTCGAATCTCGTCAAATGGAGGTACTGAAAAAGTACGAAATTTTCCTGTTGGAGAAGGTACTGAATTTCTTGAGAATGTACTGAAAAAGTACTGTAAAAGTACTTATTTTTGACCAGCCTGTTTTAGGAGACACCCTAGGAAAGAATGGACACGTATCCAGATACGTACGAAGTATGCATGCATCGAACAAGAATATCGGGAAAGTACGTATAACGCACGGGATTTAAATACTCGTATCATTTGAACGTGTTTCTGCCAAACAGAACCATGTGCACTATGACGTGAGCTCTGTAATGCATGTATTCCTTTGAGTCTCAGGGCTCATGTCTTAATGCACATAGTTCCGTGCGTCATAAAGGACCTTCCCGGGCCCTCTTTGGTTCACCTTAACTCATTATCGCCGCTGGTTTCATTTAAGGGGCTTAGATGGACAAGGCGTATGAGTGCTGCTTTTGAAAAAATTGACATATTAATGATTTCAAGTAAAACTAATTTGAAAGTATATTCTGTGAAAAATTCACTACAAAGTCTAAATTTGAAGCATCAAAAAGTGAGTTTAAACTTCCTTTCTGCCATGAAAGCTCCAAGTAATTTTGAAACTTTAAACACGTATTTCTTGGAATAGCAAAAGTTTCACTTATTTGCCTTGTCCTCCGAGCCCCTCTTTTGATGCTCAAATGATCGGAACCTAACCGTGAATTGCGCGGAAACGGTGGCTGGGTGACTCGCAAAAGTTTGGTGTAATGAGCAAATGGGTAGCCTTCCTGCAGGTAAAATCGCACGCCAATCACGTTGGGCCCATCCAAGAAGGTATTGGGAATTTACTCCGAAACCCGCTTTATGCGTTGTTTGTAACGACCTTTTAACTGGCCTTTTTAACTGTACACACCACGTTGCGGGCAGTTTTTCTCATTGGTCGGAAGGATTGCCGATGTAACAATTCAGTTGTTAAAAAAAGTGACTGCAATGTTTCAAATGTACATTTTACAATACTGGAAAACTAAATTATCATTTTTTTTTTTTTTTATTGTAAAATCTACATTGAAACATTGCAGTTACTTTTTTAACGATTGAATTGTGAAATCAGCAATTTAATTTTTTCCGTGCGAAAAAGACTTGAGGAAACCTCACCTCTTCCATTCGATTTAATACTTGACATTGTATGAAAAGGGATCGCAGTGCAACTAAATTTTAAAAATGTTCCGTGGAGCACTCCTGGTGACGGAGAAAAATGAGGGGCATGGTGATCGCTTTAGCTTGCCCCATCACTAAACTCAACGCAAGCTCCTTTAATAACTGGTGACGACGCTGAATCAAAACTAGGTAGGACCCACCGAAGAAAAACAAACTATCCTCCCGCGGTGAATGCGCGAATCATTTACAAACGAGCGAAACAAATAAGCTCGTACTTGGACGATTCTACAAAAACTGTCCAATTTAACCCATAGAATAAAAAACAGACTGCAGGAATTCTTCACGTATCGCGCCAAACACAGTGCGGTCGCCGCCGCCAGGCGGAACGGATCGCATGAGAGCGCCTACAAGAAGCAGTGCAGGAATACTTCACGCATTGCGCCTAACACAGTGCGGTCGCTGGTCGGCGCGGGAAGCATGGTAGCGCCTACAAGACTGCATGAATACTTCGCGCATTGCGCTAAACAGCGCGGTCGCTTGTCGGCGTTTAACGCGTATCGATGGTGAAACTACCATACCGCACGTACCTTGGTTTCCGACGTTGTAGAATTCCTGTTATACTGAATTTTTAAAATGAAGAACTTCCCAACGTCAATTTTCAAAAACTTCCGTGATTTTTCTTTTCTGTGCTTGTCAAATTCTAAGAAAATTTCAAGAAGTGATGTTGGTTTGTTCTCCTTCAAAACAATAAAACAGGAGCGTAAAATGAAGCTGAATACCTCGACGTACACAATTTTAACAGTACGAATTCGTTATATAATGCACTTATTTTCCAATAAGCTAGAAGAAATGGAAGAATTTCAAGCACACATTTAACAAATAAAACGTTTGTGTCTAAAAATGGATACTTTTAGTGGAATTGCCCACTTACGTCCAATTCAAAATCGCGTGTGAAAGCACTCACCCTGGCACAGAACCGGGGCGGAGCGCCGCTATTATTCATACATAAAATGTAATCCGCTTTTTTTACCCAACTTTTAATAATCAACGTACCAGATATGCACTTTTGAGCACATACATATATTTGTATTTATGAATGACTTGAATTTATTTCATAAGTACTCATTAAGATCTTAGCGTTGCCTACGGTCTTAGTTAATTTTTTTGCACTATTCGAACAAGATTTGTATTCCAACGTGCCCCAACAAAGATTCCAGCCTGTTCCATGCATTTTTAACCCGGGGCAAGTCAGATCGATTTCTTTTTCTTTTCAAAAAATGTTGATAGTTCACTGGTTTCTTTCCAAAAAGGCATTTCTGCACGATGTAATGTACAATTTGGGGAAATAGTAGCATGCACTTACTTGTAACTTCCAGAGATTGGCAGAGGTCGGACAGCATGCGGAATAGGTGTGTGAACTCTTTTAAGGAGAGCTGCAGTTTGTGCACGTATCGAATGAACAGTATCGTCAAAGTTCTAACCATTAAAGAAACATCGCAAAAATTAATATTTTTTTTATCTATTTAATGTGTATGAACTTGATTTTAATAAGTATACAGGGTATATCGCAGACCTCCCGTACCAGGCTCCTTTCCTTTGTTGCTTCTTATGGGTAGGAACTACCCATTTCAACCAATAGGATAGCTCCAGACTCCCCACGTCTTCTTTATCTATCGTCTTGTCTATCAATTTCAATGATCGGCCCGCTGTTCTGGTTCGGGCGGTCTGGGACACCCTATATAGACATACGTAAATCAATGTATAGTCTGATTATCTATATTTTATACCTAAAATTGTATTCCTAACATCAGAGTTTTATCAGGGTTTTCCTCATATTTTGCACTCATTACATATGGAATCAAGACTGTCTTTGGGTTTTAGTGGCATGTTATGAAACATTTTCCTCAGAAGTAACTTATGTATGCTTTCGGATTGACCCTGAATTTGCATAATCTTGAAATGTAATTTTGATAATTTGCTAGCATGCAAGTGAACAGTGGCAAACTGACCGCAAAAGCGTTTTGAAAGTTCGGAAAGCTGGGCAAGTTCACTTTGGTACGTATAGCCTTTTCCTTGCTGACAATGAATATTTTTCGACATATACTTAGGTCAGTTCGATTTATTTCTGTATTTCATGTAAAAGCTAATTCCAGTTTGAATTATAAAGTGGGATTGGAACACACCAGTGGCGACACGTGGACTGAAATTTTAGGGGAAGGAGGTTTTTTGAAAAACGAGACGGGGGTCTAAAGGATTTCTTTCCTGTCGAAGGGGGTTCGGGATGCTCATCCGGTAAAATTTTGAAAATTGAGTCTATTCTTCACCGCAGTTTTCGGTTACTTTCGAGGTAAAATAACTCCTTTTTCTCCTTTTATTTTCTAGGCGAAAGCAGGGGAGAAATTCCGACTCGAAAAGAGTTGCGAGAAGTGGCGGAAATTTATTCTAGCACTGAATACAAAATGACATCGTCGACTATTTTTGGTTGGGGGGGGGGTCGGCAAATTTAGAGCCCTTACCCCCCTCATTCCATACCCACGCCGTCACTGGAATAAACAATTTATTTCTATTTAAATTGATGAAACGCTGTTGAAAATGTTAAATGTTTCCATTCAATTTGATTTGTTTGTAACGTGCACTCACCACGCTGGCCTTGGCGTTAAGGAATTCGTCCTCAGCACTTGCTCCTACGTGCGAACGAGGAAGGTGTTGGATACGATCCAAAGCACCCCTTAAGACAGAGCGGCGGACCTTCCCGTGAGGAGCAACATGGATGGGCACGGTGGTGATTCTTTTTATGGCGATATAAGGAAGCTTGGGATAGGTCTTGATGGATACATGCAACAGAAAAAGTCAAGCATATCATTCGTGCAAGAAAACTTGCAGGTAGGTTGTCGAATTTTCTGAGAATGATTCACCCAACATCAACCCCTCAACCTCAATCACTCCATTCCCAAGTAGCAGTGATCGCGATAAGTTGCACTTTGATTGGATAATGTATCGCGATTTTATCGATGTCGATTTATTGCAATATTATCGGATAAAAAATTGCGATAAATTGCGCTTTAATGGCATTAATTTGCAATAAAATCGCGATTTTATCGACGGCGATCTATCGCAATGTTATCGATAAAAAAATCGTGATAAATTGAGATACAATTTCGATTTTCTCTAACACGATTGTGTAGAGATAAAATTGCGATAGTATTGAGGATAATTGCTCAGATGTTGATGATCCCAGCGCTTTTATCGCCAAAAAATCGTACAAGAAATCGCAACTTAATTTCAAAACATCGCGATTTTTTCGCTGAAAAATGCTACTTGAGTTATTCTGCTGTGGTAAGGAAAAACGCCGTATAAGCATTTGAATGATGCCAAATTTCCTCTCAGAATATATTCAGTTTTTAATAAAGTTATGAATATTTTTCCTTGACATTTTCAGACTTTGTAGATCGAATTTTGAACAAAATTCATTAAAAAGCCGAAAGAGAAACATTCATAAATTTTCCTGAAAACTCATTGTTTTTCGAAGGAAGTTTGTGAACGCCTGATTGCTCATACAGCGTTTTTCTTTACCACGGAAGTATTTGGAGGTACATTTGAACC